CACACAGACAGACACACACACACAGTCAGACACACACACACAATCACTCACATTAACACTTTTTTTTATTATTATTATTTAACCCCCCAGCCTCCTTACCTTTGGGAATGCTGGGGGGGATGGAGGGGTCCCTCTCTCCCTGGGGGTGCAGTGGCTGGCGGGCGGGCGGGCGGCTGGCAAGGGAGCTCTTCCTCTGAGCAGTCTGCTCAGCTCCCTCGCACACCGCAGAGTGAGGCTGGGAGCCGGAATATGACATCATCAACCCGGCTCCCGGCCTCACTCTGCGGCACGCGAAGGAGCTGAGCAGTCAGCTCAGAGGAAGAGCTCCCTCGCCAGCCGCCCGCCCGCCCGCCCAGCATGTCAATTAGCCGCGAGGCTAACTAGGCATTTGCCCTGGTCATTTGGGGGCGGCGTTTTTTGCTGCCGCCTGGAAAATGCCGCCCAAGGCAAATGCCTTGTTTGCCTCGCGGCTAATACGTCCGTGCCCTAAGTGGAAATAAGTCCAAATTTAAAATAGTCGTTCAGTACAACCTAGCTCATGTGTTGAGTGTAGTAGCCCGTGCGTCCTCTACTTCATTGTTCGTTTTGTTCCTTGACCTCTAGCCGACCTATTTTGAGCATTATGCATCACCCAATGCCAATGAAGGCAGAACAGTCTATCCTGTGCTGTCTGTATTTACCAAATCCAGAGACTAGATCTGCTACTGGCGTAAGTGTTTTCACAATTTAAAGGAAGTCCAGCAGCAGCATAATGTGTGTGTCTTTTATGGAGGTCCATAATGCAGTATATATTGCTTGCTGTATCTCTTTCCCCATTTGGACTCATGCTGTTTCTGTATAAGCTTTTTCCTATTTTGAACAGAAGCCTGTGAAATTTAGAGGATGTCCCTGTTGTTTTTATATGATGGTCTTTAGCAGTAGCACATACAGCTGCTATAGCTGCAGGTGGCATCTTTGTTTAAGCCATTGTGAGTACACATACACAGCTGCCTTGCTGCAATTCTAAAGCTTTAGCAGAGTTTAAATTATGCATGGGGAATTCATACAGCATATTAACCATTGGTCTTTTTTATTGGTACCCGTTTTAAAGAGACAATTCAAGCACCATAAACACCATAGTCAAAGGAAACCAAAACTACAGACCAAATATGCTCGCTTGAGCATCGCCTTACCTCATAAATAAGGAGTAAAGTTAGAGAGTAACCTCTGCAACACTCAGAACTAATGCAGATGCACAGGCTGTCTGTCTGAGAGACAGCCAGAAAAGGCCTTTCTAAACCTCTAAACCCCCAGTCGGTCCACATTGCGTAGAGGGGTGCCATAGTATGCAGGATCACCACGTATGGGGAGGCAGAGATAAGAGCACTATAAGGCTTCGATGGATGAGAGTGGCACCAGTGGTGGGATTTAGGGTATTACCTGGCGAGGGTCAATGTGATTTGGGCTGGTTGAGGTCACTATCTGGATAGGATTATTATGATTGGCACGGGGGGTTGAGGGCACTATCTGGCCATGGTTCGTTTGATCAGGGCAGGAAGGATGAATGCACTGCCTGGCTAGAGTCAATGTGAATAGGATTGGTAGCACTTTGTGGTTAGAGTCGGTGTGACTGGGCAGGGAAGGATGAGAGCACTGTCTGGCTAAGGATGATCTGATTAGATCGGGATTAAGGGTACTAGCTAGGATAGTGCTAGTCACGGCTGAAGGCAATTCAAGGAAATGTGTAATGCGATTGTGAGCAATGAGTAGCAAATGGGATGATGGGAGGACTAATGGGGTGGATATTATTTGTGAGTTTTGTGGTACTAGTGTTAAGGCGATGGGGTAATGTGATTGGGGCTAGGATTGAGAGGGTTATGTGAGAAATTAGCAAATTATGAAAACTAAGGTGCAGATATTTGGGGACTAGGTAAATGTAACTTGGGCTGTGGGTTATGAGTGGATTATAGAGATGGAGTAGTCTGATTAATGCTGAGGCTGAGAAGGAGTTTATAAGGAGGTGAAGTTTACGGGGCCGGGGTAAGGGGATTAAGGGGATGTGGTAGTGTGATGGGGTACAAGTGGACTGTGGAGATGGAGGTGATTAGAGAATTATGGGATGGGGGTATTATGTATGGGGGTGATTTGACGGTTGGTTGCGCAGTCTATGTAGATGAGGGTTAAGTGGGGATTAGGGAATGGGGTTAACAAGAAGAAATGGTGATGGTGTTTGTAATTAGAACTACCAGGCAGGAGGTAATGGATGGTTTATGGGGCTGGGAGAATATAATTGAGACTGTGCGACAGAGGGTGATGAGGGGATTATGGCACCATGGTTTCACGATGATGGCACACTATATCAAAGGGTTCCTGTCAGGAACCAAACCAGATTTTCTGAACTTTCCTACCTTTCATTCAATTATGTTCCTGCAGTTTCTATATTTTGTCACTTGTGTCCTCCCTAACCACTAGATCTGAACTCCCTTGGTTCTACCTCACCTGACTAGGTTAATTACTGCACCTACAAAAGGCTACACCCTACTCTATACAGAGCCTTTAGATTAAAGTCAAGGGTCAAACTGAAAAGACTTCTGTTCCTGGCTCCTTTGAACTTACCTATGTTATTACCAACCTTCTTTATTGGATCCCGATTTCCACTTTACAACCCAACCCTTGGAACTAACCTGCTTTATTACTTGCTTCAAACCAACCTTAACCATGTTATATCACTATCCTATTTTGTGATTCCAACCAGCTTTATTACCATCCTGCTGAAAACAAACCTGATCTACTCTACCAAGTTTATTTACTTCCTACACAATCTATGTTACCAACTACTGGTCCAAACTTACTTAATTGCAACCTGAACTACTCTACAAACCTGCTTTATTATCTGCTTCAAACCAACCTGAACGCTCTCAACATGCATTCTACCAACCTGGCCTATTATTGCATGGTATTATTTGCCTGAATATTCAGTGCTCCTTCCAACAAGGGACTGATTTGCTAAACCACTATTTTACCTGCAATCCAGAAAGCTTATTGTTTTCTGTTTTTACCTGTCGTCTTTCTATTTAACCTATATTTAACCTATATTTTCCTCCTATAGGTTTTCTTATTTAACTATATATCCTGAAAACAACCTGCCTGGGGCTTATTACCTAAATCTATTTAGTTCTGTTCTCTCACTCGCTTTCCTATAATTTTGTATATAGGGTCTCTCTACCATTCCTATAATTCCATTTATAGGATCTACCTCCCTATAATTTAGTTTATCGGTTTTCCTGATACAATTTACCTAAATCTTTACTTGCCTCCCTCTTTTTGCTAAAAATACTTAGTGTGTAAAATATGTTTAAAGACTCCAATAAACAGTCAAATGTTAACCCTGTCATAAGCCTCTTAACTGACCTGCTCAAGACCATGACAGTTCCACTGGAAAAATTAATTGGGAACCCCTGGGTTAGTTGATAGCCTTTGCTAATGAAGTTTTACTTAAAGGATTGAAGGTCTAATTGAACTGGTAAAGCAAAATCTACACAGTTCTGATCAAAGTCTTCTAGGTGAGAGTTGGAGGTACAGCATTTACCACTCTTAAAGGGACACTCCCCAGGCACCCAGACCACTTCTGCCCATTGGAATGGTCTGGGTGCCAACTCCCATCACCCTTAGCCCTGCAAGTGTAATTATTGCAGTTCTCATAAACTGCAATAATTACCTTGTAGGGTTAAGTCCTCCGCTAGTGTCTGTCTAGTGGACGGAGTGTGACCCAGCGCCGAGGGACATCGGCGCTGGATTCCGGTAAGTCACTGAAGGGGTTTTAACTTAAGGGGGGGTGGGGGGGGCACTGTTTTCCTGGCACTGGAGAGTCCCTTTCAGTAAACTCCTTACAATACTGGTAATCATAGAGGTGCACTCTATTAAAAGTCTATTCCAAGCACCATAATCACTACACCCCGCTGTGTTGTTATGGTGCCAGGAGTGCCTTGGCGCCCTTTCAGTGCCCGCTGTCAAACCGTTTAAGAATGCAGGGCTTAGTTCATTGGCTGAGAGTGTTCAGCGGACACTTTTTGCCAATTAGCTGGCCCTGAATGTCAGGGCTTATCTCAGCGGAGTTCCAGAGAAGGAGGTAGGCGGCGCACTCAAAGTAAGTTGTCAAACCATTTGCAAATGCAAGAGAACTCCTGTACCCATAACCACTTATTTTGTGAAAAATAACTGTTTGCAGAGTTTATTTTATGGAAAAACTGGAAGCCAAACTAAAATCCTACGCACATACAGCAAAGAGTTATGTTTTGCTGTATATATCTCCCACGCCTCTCTTTAACTCTATGATAGCATAGGTATTGACCACATTTTGGGCCGTGCACATCTTATCTATGTTGTACGTATGCAAATCAATAAAATGTTACAAAGTGCATAAATATTTCATTAGATATCATATACTTCTGTTTTTACCTTAGATAAAATGTGATGGGAATGTATATATCTTTGAATTAGTCAAGTGTGAGGCAGTATGTACTGAATTGAAATTACTTATATATAGTTTGTTTCAATGTTGCTAAAGTTACAAAAAAGGTCAAAATAGATGATTTGGGAAAAATAGCTGTTAGATCATTTTTCTAGCAGAGATATTTTGATCTGAGTTTTGTCAACTGCTTTAAATTCACTACAACAAGGTTTTTAGTCAATACAATCCAGTGTTATTATTATTTTAGTTATGTAGTGCCAGCATGTAACCCAATGGCAATATGCGTATAATAGGAATATACCTACCAATTATTTTTGGAAAAAATATTCAGCACCAGTAAGCAGAGGTAAATAGGGCCCTGTTAAACTAAGCTTACAGTATAATAGATATATAGTCTAAAAAGCTCCTCAGCTGATACAGAAAGTAGGCATTTATATGGCACACAAATGGTTGTATGTGCCAGCTTGATTTGCTTGACTCCACCCAATGCCAGGCATTACATCATAGTTATTCCCCCTTCCCCCCCCTTTATTCTCAGAATCATGTTTATATTATAACAGCTGCATAATCCCACTTGTGGAGAATAATTTATTTTTCTTTTTGCTAATATCATATAATTATGTCTGGGTGATTTGTGCATTGCTGGGGGGATGTTCTAACAACCGTGCCTAGCTCCGTCAGGTTTATAGAAATCGTGTCTGAATGCCCCCCCTTTGGGAGACAGTCTGAGAAAACGTCACCTTGGCAACCAGGCTCCATCAGATTCTGCACAGACACACAAGCACACACACAGATACACATCCTGACAGGCGCAGCCGATCCGACACAGAATCTCACACCACATCCCGGAGCAAGAGGTAACCCTGGGGTCGGGGAGGTCTGCATCAGCCTATTGGTATGCTATCTTTAATATAATACCTTAATTCTTGAAATAGTCTGGATGCATCTGCAGAATTTGATTTCTGCACTGAGTCCTATGCAGTATAGATTTTGGTGAGTGGCCTTTTTTTTTTTTTTTAACTCTTTTGTTGCTGGAGGCGATATGCTATATATTTATATTTTTATATATATAATTAATTTTATTTATATACCTGCATTGCTGTGTCTATCCACACAAAAGATGTGCAAGAAAAATAATAGGCTCTGTTCATGTTATGAATGGCTGTAAATAACTGAACAATGAAAATTTGTTTCACCCCATTTAGTGTCAGAAGGTGTTAGACCACTCTTATTGTATTGAGGCTCACTCTGCTTTAAGGATTTGCATGGACGTCCTTAATTTATCCTGATGTAGCTGCTTTGTTCTGCTCAGTGTGAGCGGTTTTTCTTTTGTGTGTTCCAGGTGGAGGGATTAGGGACTCAATGATTAATTATCCCTTTTTTTTTTTTTAGATTTTTTTTTAAATACCTGTCTAAGCTAAGCTCTTAACTGTCATAATCATCTTGGACCTCTGATCTCGCAGGCATTGCATAATCACCAAGTGAGAAAAGAGACATAGAATGATATCATATCGCTGGCGGAATTTCAGGTTCATATGCAAGGTTTAGCCGTTTCAGTCTACCTATTTATTTATTTATTTTCCCATGTGGGTGTACTCTGAATCAGCAGTGTTTAGTTATGCGCATGTATCATGCCAGTCTAAATCCTATGCGTCTTATTAAAAAAATGCAGCAGGCATCCAACTGCTAGAATTAGCTCTATTAAATTCCAAAGGCCAGAAGCAAATTTTAACATTAGTTGTGTTCCTGTTATTTTTTCCTCCAAATTCCCTAAATTTCCTAATTGCTGTGTAGCTTATCAATGCTATTCTCTCTTGTGGTTTGAAATTATTAAACATATGACATGGAGTTCTAACAATGGAACTATATATTTTTTAGTGTACTACTGGGATTTATTGGATTACGTCATCTGCCACTAAATTTTGCAGACATGCGTTTGTTTAGAGTCTTCCAATTTGATTTATGCCCTGTGTATTCTTTTGATCACTGTATACTTATACGCATACACATCTATAAACGTTTTTACATCATCCAAATAAAACCCTTTTATTCATCGCTGGTAGTGCAAAGAACTCACAATTGAAAATGCCCAGTCTAAATGTAGTTTTTATTAGTTTATTACATAATATCTATATGATCATTTAAAATTTGAAGAAACAATTTTTTAAATATATAACAGCAACCTGTATTCAGAGATAATTTATTATTCCATACGGATCAAGCAACCTGAATGTCTTACTCGTTTTGAGTAACAAACACTGGTGGACAAATCTCAGCCACTTCCATTTGAATTCAAATTTTGTCTGAAAATCAAGGTTTATCCTCCTGTAAAATAAGCAATTTAAAGGTTATTGAATATTGTTGAACATCATGCTGGGAAGGCCCATAATAAATTCTCTACCATTCCCAGGGAAAGTGTAATTCCCAGCCTTCCTCCAGATACTTGAGTCAGGCACCCCAGAACAGGACTCAACATATCCACCCTCCACTAGCCAGTGAAAATTGAACCATGTTGAGGAGAAATTGACCCCTAGTTTAGTGTGCCATGGACCCACCAGAGTTACATTGGCAAATAACTAAGGCCCAGCTAGTAATGAAGGACTTTAAGTGTTATGCACAGCTGAAATAGTTATTCTCAACAACTACTCATAGATCCTTCAAGAGATTTATCCTATAAGCAATACCTATTTTTTTCTACAAATGCACAGTTTAATGACATCGCTTGTTTAACTTCCATTGTCTCTGCATTCCACTGCAGAGAAATACCTAATTTGATTATATTATTCTGCAAAACCCAACAACAGTGCTTTAATGTTCTCAATTGATTCCATTAATATGATATATATACATATACACACACAGTATATGCTATATTAATGGAACAAATTAATGGAATATATATATATATCTCATATTTCATATTTATGGCTTAAATATGTATAGTTGCTCCACACCAACCATAAGTATTGCATCGTTACCATGCTACTTTCCTGTTCTAATACTTTTTTTTACAGTTGTATGTGCTTTCAATTATTCACCAACCTTTAATGTGATATAGATGGAAAAAGGTTTTAAAAATATCAAAGTAAATTGTTTTCACTGTGTTGATCTGGTCTATATTTGACAAGCAACTTAATTCGCTTTTACATAACAAGTTATTAGTAAACCATGCTGTTTCTTACTAGTAATATTGTTACATAACACAATTTTCTCTATTGTGATTATGGGGTAAATCACAATTCAGCATCAATATTTAATGACTTTCAGCTGGTATTACATCAGGGTTTTCAATGAAATTTCAATCCAAACTTTTTAAAACTTTTTTTCTTCTTTATTAATTGTAAAAATTATTTTCAATTGAAAACCAGGCTTTAAGCAGCTCTGTCACTTAGATCTTATCTTTGTGAAGTACTGACTGCATCGGAATTTCATTGAAACTCCTGTGCAATCCACAGATGATATATAAATCAAAAAAGGCACGTCTTAAAGTAAACCTATAATTAAAAATTCACTGGTATTGCTCCCATATACTTTGAATACACCATATATCAGAACGATACATTGTGTATCCTGTGTAAAATATAGAGGTTTATTTACATTTCCTCCATTCCAGCACCAGTGTGTGGGTGCTACTTTTCATGTAACCCCCTTCTCTGGGCGGTCCTTCTCTCTTTGATTTGCCCTGCTTGCTCAACATGCTGGCTTCATTGCCAGCATGCCAGCATCGAAACAGAATGACGTCACATCACTACGTTCCTATTCTCCTTCTCCTAGAGCTAGAAGCACCAGCTAGGGAGTTTCCATAGTAACCACAGCACTTGTACTGTGGTTGCTATGCTCAGGAAAGCAGGATGACTTCCTGTGGGAGGTCTTCCTTGCTCTCCCTTGTCAGTCATTACCTCGGCACACTGAGGCATTGACTGACAGCTGAGAGAGAAACTATATTTAATAGGTCTTTTTCCAATCTGTTCATTTGCTTGCAAAACTGCTTTATGCTCTATCTAATGAGCATACGTTGTTTGGGACATGACAGGTGCCCTTTAAAGGCCAGTCTTAGGTTGACAAAGATGACATGACTTTCAACATCAATGTCTTGTCAAATCTCAGCAGCTATCTGCTATGGATATCAGGTATCGACTCACTCATTGCAAGACGTGTTTTATAAATGGTCACGGGTGATCTATGGAGATGTCAGTGTTGTAATCTTGTGCATATGTGATTGACAGCTGGGAGAGTGCAACTTAGAAGCTTTATAAAAGTGGAGTGTTCCTTTAAATATACAATAATTCAAGTTTTATAGCTGTGAGGTTATCATGCACTCAGACACACCAAACCCTGAGCTTCTAGGGCAATAGGGTAGTAGGATAGTTAAGTGGTGGAAAATGACTGATGAGAGGTGCAATAGGATACAGAATTATTATTATTTTTTTTAACATTCACAACTAAGAAAACCAGACTATGTTTTCCAGATTGTGTGAAACATTTGAATATGTTTGGAAATCACAGACATCCTGGAAACAGCATGTTTGGTGATAACATTTGTCAAAAAAGGTATTCACCTGGAATACTGGCTCAGTAAGAACACACTGCCAGTTCACAGGCCAATAGGGTGATCAAAAGATCTAAAACTCAGATCCGTCAGAGCACATATAGTGTGCAATGTAGGAAAATTATGGATATTGGACATTCTTGTTAAGGAATCCGATCCTGGGACAACATCCCCCCCCAAAAAAACATTTTATAGAAAGAACAAAAATGTTTAAAATATACAAGCTCTCAGCTACATTTACATAAAGAATAGTAATGAACAAGGTAAAATGGCAATTTAACATGTTTAAAGATGCAAGGCCTGTAGGACTGTCAGCACATAGAGAGTTGATTTGTTCAAAAGTTAAGCAACAAACTAAAATCCCAAACAGCTTGTGATTCAAAGTATGTGATAAATCTGAAATGGTGTCCTTGGGGCAAACAATATGTCGGATGCACAAAGAGAAATCTGAAAGAGGTAATATTGGAACAAATTAAAAGATTTGCAAGCAACATTTTATCCTAATACATTTTAAAGTATGTCCTAAATTTCATTTTAAAAATTAAAAATTTCTAGCAATTGAAATTTTTTTTACCACACTGGAGATGAGGAGACAAAGAAAGAAGAACAAAGAGAATCCGACAGGATGCATTAGCATGGTTTGAATGAAGAATTAGACTTGGCTTTGTTTTTATAAAAATGTTTTTATTACACAGAATACAATTGTGAAACTATTAGGTGAAGAGTTTAAATTATACAGGTAATTGTTTATATTTTTATATTTTCCTAGAAGAAAAACTACCACAACAAGAGGACATGGTCTTAAGTTAGAGGGGCAAAGGTTTAGAAATAAATCAGGAAGTATTACTTTACAGAGAGGGTAGTGGATGCATGGAATATCCTTCCAGCTGAAGTGGTAGAGGTTAACACAGTAAAGGAGTTTAAGCATGTGTGGGATAGGACTAAAGGCTATTCTACATATATAATAAGGCCAGGGACTAATGAAAGTATTTAGACAATTGGGCAGACTAGATGGGTCAAATGGTACTTTATCTGCTGTCACATTCTATTCTTCCAGTGGAAATAGAATGTTAAGGTTAAATATAATAAATAATTAAAAATTATAAAAATAATAACCTAAACAAAATAATTTTCACTATAAGGTATATTACTTTATTAGTTAATGAATAATATAATTTGTGGTTATGGGTGCTCCTTCCCAGTCGTGGATATGTAAAAGTATTTGCAGTGCTTGACAAAGGCTCTTCAACTAGGCTTCCATGGAATCTGCATTATAGGCATGCTCAGAGGTAAAGTGGTGGAGGTGGCAGTGGCGGATCCATGGGGTGGGGCAACGGGGCAATTGCCCCCCCCCCGAGAAAACCGAGGGTCTCCCTCTCCCCTGCCAGTACATGCAGGCGCCAGCCCTGCAATGTGCCTTCATGGACTGGAGGGCAAATCAGAGATCTCCCTCCCCGCTCCGCAGGCACATTGCTGGCAGCTGGCAGGGGTGTGAGGGAGAGAGAGGACCCGGGAGCTCCTCCGGGTCCTTCTCTCGCGAGCTTGGAGCATTGCCGCGGTTACCACGGCAACGCTCCAAATCTCGCGAGAGTGAACTCTAGCCCTGGAGCTACGGGCTAGAGTTCACTCTCACCATTGGGCCACCAGGAATTCCCCACGGACCACCAGGGATGGAAAAATGTCCCCCCTCCTCCCAGTAAAGGTAAGAAGGGAGGGGGGACATAATGTAGTTTTATTTTTATTTAATTAAAATAAATAAACAACACACATATTATAAAAAAGCCCCCATACCCTTCTTATCACACACACACACTGCCCCCCATACACACACACTCTACACACACACACACACACTGCCCCCATACACACACACAGCCCCCATACACACACACACCCCCCATACACACACACACACACGGCCCCCATACACACACACACATTGCCCCCAAACACACACACACTGCCCCCATACACACACACACACACACTGCCCCCATACACACACACTGCCCCCATACACACACACCTCCCACATACACACACACTCCCCCCCTACACACATTGCCCTACACATACACTGCCCCCTATACACACACACATTGCCCACACTCACACATACACTACACCTGTTACACACACACATACTGTCCCACACATACACTGCATCCCTGACATACACTACCACCCTCACTCACACACTATAACCTTCACACAAACACACACTGCTCACACACTGTCACCCTCACACACACACACACACACTGCACCCCTTACACATTGCACCACTCACACACACCACTGCTCCTATGCCCTACTACAGACCCGTTTCCCAGCAGACCTCAGGTAAGTTGTCAAACTGTTCTTAAACAGTTTGACTACTTACTCTGGGAGGGGGTCCTGGCACTATTGACACCATAACCACTACACTGAGCTGTAGTGGTTATTGTGTTTGGATTATTTCTTTAAATAATCTACAAGTGCCCCTCCCGAGATCAGGCTCTGGATCCGCCACTGGGAGGTGGGAGCAAATAATGCATTTCATTTATAATTAATATAATGTGTGGGGAGACTGGACACAACAAACACTGCATATTCCTCACATATTCATTGTATGGTCAAAGGTGTGTGGACAATCATTGAGTTCAGATTTCTCAGCCTTATCCAGCATATAGCCATGACCCCTCCACAGATAAACACTGTCATTTTCCTTGGATACCATATTTGACACAAGTCAGTTTGTGAAATTTCTTCCCTACTGGATCTGGCCCAGTCACTTATAAGAGCTATTATTATATAAGTGGAAGAATCTAGGAACAACAGCTCAGCCAGGAACGGTACACCACATATGCTCACAGAGTGGGCTCACCAACAACTGAAACACATCATCCATTACAATACTCACATCGTTCTACACTGCCTATGGAAGCAGTAACCACAAATAAACTGTGTGTGTCGGGAACTTCATAAACTCAGTTTCCAAGGACTAGCTCAGAGCAACTGACCCTGGGACAAGAGAGACTGCCAACTCACTGAGCCCCCTTACAGATGCAAAAATGTTCGGCTACGCAGACAGAATATGCATTTTGCCGTGCCTCACCCCTACACGTTCCTCGCACTTGTTTATCCCTTGATGGTGCTGCTCTCACATAAATATTTGAGGAGTGCGCTGCCCAGCACCCAGAATGGCTGTGTGAGACTAGACTTGTGCATTCCTTTTTGAAAAATGCCAACTTGTATAAATTTTGGACAATCGATTAATTCAGAAGATTTAGAATTGCTTTTCTAATTAAGTAAATTAAAGACAATTGCTCGTTGGATGAGAATTCGCCCATGCAATTTGTTCATTTGTTTGTTTATCTAATTACAAGGAGGGAGCTACCAGCTCTCTCCTTGTAATTAGATTATTTTCAAATTGAAGCAGCGGGTACCCGCGAGTAGAGATCCCTACCACTTTCTTCTCCCAATCCCCTTGACTGTTACATTTTACTTTATTAAATCCCTCCATAACCATCTAACTTTAATTAAGCATGAAGAATTAAAATCATTTCAGCCCAAAGTGTATTTTCCTGTGTAGAATCAGATCTTGCATCGTTTTCGGTGCTAACTTTACTTCCCAATTAGTTACGTGTGTTCCGTAACAAAGTGTATTGAATTTGTAGAATCGGATTCTGCATCATTCTGTGCTACCTCTCATGTCTAATTGAATATCTCAGAGAACACACTTTACTTATTGGAAAGTGAAGTTTGCACAAAACTATACATTGGCAAAAATTTCAGTTCAGTTCGGCAATTCGGGACTTCAGCAATTCCCTAACTCTAACCCTACCCCTACCCCTACTAGGGTTAAGTGTAGGGTTAGAGGAAGGTTGGGGTAAAGGTTAGGGTTAGATTCCTGCCATTATTCCCTTAATTTTCCCTCCCTCTCCTGTTTTGACACTTTTCAGAAATCCAAAGCACGTCCGTACTTCTGAAATTCGGCACTTCAGCAATTCGGTTCCGCACTTCCGAAATTCGGCACTTCGGCAATTCGGTAATTAGGACATTCAGAAGCAAAACGAATTGCACATGTCTACTATACATAATCTGATTCTAAACATGAAAATACACTGGGTTAAAAGGATTTCATTTTGCGCACTCTGTTCAGTAGACGTGGTTAAACAAAACATGCTTATCTCATTGAGAAGTGAATGTATACAGAAACTGATTTTTCACATTAAAATACACTTTGGGTTGAAATGATTTCATTTTACATATTCTGCTCATAGGAGATATAGAGATTATACATAGAATGCACTTTACTCAATGGGAAGCGACGGTAGCATCAAAAAAGATGTTGAATCTTATTCAACACATGAAAATACACTTTGGATTGAAAGGATTTTCACTCTCCATGCTTAGTTCAGGGGGTATAATTGGGTGAGGGGGTATGGAGGGTTTTAAATTATACTCACTAATTCCAAATTGGAAGTAGGAAGCGACGGGAAGCTCTGTTCCCCATGACTTCTATTTTTAACCACTTACTTGTTGGTTATTGTTAAAAATGGAAGCAGTCCGTCCAAATATCCTTTAAAAATTAAATATGCAAATGCATATCAGAAGAACCTAACCAAAGCATTGACAAAAGTTGGATTTTAATTTTGGACAGACCAATTTGGAAAAAAACATATTTCTATCCATGCAGACATGTAGTCATGACACCAACATCCACAGATTCTCCAAACAGGGGGATTTACTGTTAAGGTGTTACTCCAGCTAAAAGAGTCTTTTACTAAAACATGCAGCCCCACAGCCCTGTTAAAATAAATAAATAAAGCAAAATTAATTACACACTTGCGCTGTATCACATGCAAGTGTTGTACATGTGTGGGGATGCTGTCTTTGGTGTTGAATGTGTTTGGTTGTTGCGTGTGGATTTGCATGTGTAGAGTGAATGTAAAAGGCTGTAGAGTCTGTGGCTGGGGCTGTAGTGCATGTATAAGGCAACTTTAACCCTGGCATAGGTGTTGTAGAGAGTGTTTGCCATCGGGCTGTAGTTTGTGTGTGTTTGTATCTAGGGGATTCAGTGTAAGTATATATGTTTATACGGGTTGCATACGGGTTTTCTGTGTGTGTATTTGGAGCTGTAGTGTCTGCATGTGTATAGAGGCTGTAGTGTGCATGTGTATGTATAGGGGCTATAGTGTTTGTGTGTGGGGGTACAGTGTGTATGTATAGGGGTTGTAACAAAATCCCTTATTAAACAGACTATGAGAACCAGCCTGTTCGGTTATTTAGACGTGTGTGGGGTGATTTCGTGCAAACAGCAAGAAAACGAATAAACTGCCGAATCACCCGACCTCCTACTGAGGTCGTGTGGCGCCCATTAACCACCCAGACTTTGCGGTTAACCACAGAGTAATTTGGGAACAGCTTCGTGGTCCGCGTTCGTCTGCCGAACACGTGGCAGTCGCCATTTTAAATTGTCGAATGCCCAGCGGTAAATGACAGCGATGCCCTGGAACTCTTTTTCGGATACTTATTCTGCCGAACACCGCTGATACCTACCAAGGTCCTTGTTCATACGGTTGAAAACACACGAATGCCGGAGACATTACCCCGTTCGGGACTAGGATTTATGCGAAAGAGACCGACCCCAGATAGCTACATTGTGGAACTCTTTGTCGGATACAAACACGCGAACGGCCGGTGAAGTCCAAACTTCATTCGACGTTTTTGATGCACTCAGATCCAAGCTATCTGGGGGTATGTGGGACTTAAAGTTTATGTTCAGTAAAATATAAGTTATAGACATTTATGCTGTTTTGTGAATATGGGAAAAGCCATGTTTCTTTCTACCTGGAGATAATTAAGGCTCTCTTTACTACCTTAAGTTAATTATCTCCAGGATGGAAAGGAGGGAGTGACCTATGTAAAAGGAGAGTGCTTATGTTATAGCCACTGCGATTGGCTACTGTTATTCTTTTGTCCCAGTCTTCCATCTGGTCCCCTAGGGGAGTGTCCACCAGGTGGGAGACCTGCATAAATACCGGGCAGGTAGCCCCCATTAAATCAGATCGTTTTACCCCTTCATGAAGTCTCGACTCATGTTTGGGGGATTGGAAGCTATAATCACTCTGTTTCAGCGGGATTTCAGGAGAAGCTACAAGGATCAGCACTGCACGAATAGAAGGATCCTTTACAGGGGTGTTGTGCATGGGTATTTGGCGTATATTGCTATCTTGTGTGTGTATTGGAGGTGCAACTTGTATGTACAAGGGGTGTAATGTATGGGTATTGTGAGTGTATAGGAGGTGCAGCATATTTGTAGGGTCATAGTGTATTTATAGGGTGTGGAGTGTGCTTGTAGGGATGCACTTTGTGTATACAGGGTAAAGTGAATGTTTAAAGGGGTGTGCTCAGTATATAGGATTTATAGTATGTGTACAGTGTGTATAGAGTGTGCATATGGGTAGGAGGGGCTTTATTGATTTAAATAATATTATAATTTTTTATAATAATTATAAAAAAAAACGTATGAGGGGATGGGGTGACACCTAAACCAGGTACAGACCAAAAAGTATCTGTTGTGATCTCTGGGACTTACAGTGTCAGAGTATTTTTGTTTTTTTTGTCAATCAATATTTTAATTGAGATTTAAGTATGATATAGGTTATAAACACTAATGAGAAAGGCCCCCTTCAGTTACATAGTTAAATAGTTACCTGAAAAGCTAAATGTGTCCTTCAAGTTTGGCCTTCCTCACATCTGTTTTTCCAGTTGTTCCAAAAAAAAAAATAATACACTTTGAAGTGCTTCCAATTTAACAACAAACTCAGAAAAAATCCTTTCTAGTTGTTGAGCCCTCGGTCCATGAACGAGTGCCAGACTGATCAGTCTGCCCTGGTAAAACTACACTATGTATATTAGGGGTTCCTTAAGAGTTGTTCATGCATATAGTCTAGATCAGTTTTCCCCCCCCCCCATAATATGTTGGCTGTGAAACTAAACACAGAATGTTCTTTCACATTCAAATTTATGTTGGTAAATAGACCACACTGCAAACCATACTGATGATCCAGACATTCCTTGCTTTAATCCTGATCACAAATTCACACATTTACAGATTCACTTACAAATTTGTACACACACTCACAGATACAAACACATACTCATGGGTACACACATACATTTGATTAAAAGACCATCAACATAAAAAAAAAAAAAATCTAAATATCATTCTAAAATGTAAACTTAGAGGAAGTGACATAAGATCACTTCCTCTGAATGCTACCACAAAGGAGGGAAGAGGGAGCAACTCAGCCCTACATCACCTCCATTAACCTACCCTCCAGCCTATTGGTCAGGTGGTGCCAACTTGGAGTGTGCATCCTGTGTGATCACACAAGTCATACACCCCTAAGGCTGACCCTGAACCCGCAATCCTTATTTAGGTCATGACTAAACTGCAACTCCAAAAATTCAGCTGAGCCAAACCTACATTTGGCCGAAATTCAGGGTTCCCAATTTTTTTTATATTTTAAGAAAAAATGGTCCCATCAAGCCAAATGTTCTGGTTGTGCACAAATCCAGTTGCAACAGTGAGTTTGGGAACCACCAGTTACGAAACACAATGAATATCTTATGTTCAGGCCCTATTTGTTCTACACCCCAAACAAATAAAATGTTTGTATACACTAACTGCCTAAAGCTAATACTAAACTCACATGCACTAGCTGCATATAGCTAATTGAAATAAGTGTTTGGGGTGCTGGCACAACGCATATTAGTGGAAAAAGAAAATAAACAGATATTTTTAAAACCGTATTGGAGTCCTGAGTGTATTTGTGTAAGTGTCTATGTGTGCAAATCTGTCTGTGTATGTGCACATGAAGTGCTGAGCAAAGTTATTTCTGACAGAAGTGATCTGCTGACTGCTGCACCTTTCCCATGGCTGGAAAGAATTCTTCTTCTTCTTCTTTCTCAAATCCTCTCAACTACTCTGCCTAATTCTGAATTCCACTTTTAGGGCCAAAAATACAGTTTCAAGAAAAAGTATGTGAACCCTTTGAAATGATATGGATTTCTGCACAAATTGGTCATAAAATGTGATCTGATCATCATCTAAGTCACAACAATAGACAATCACAGTCTGCTTAAACTAATAACACACAAAGAATGTTGCCATGTTTTTATTGAACACACCATGTAAACATTCACAGTGCAGGTGGAAAAAGTATGTGAACCCCTAGACTAATGACATCTCCAAGAGCTAATTGGAGTGAGATGTCAGCCAACTGGAGTCCAATCAATGAGATGAGATAGGAGGTGATTTTCACAAGAAGCATTGCCTGATGTGAATGATGCCTCGCACAAAAGAGCTCTCAGAAGACCTACGATTAAGAATTGTTGACTTGCATAAAGCTGGAAAGGGTTATAAAAGTATCTCCAAAAGCCTTGCTGTTCATCAGTCCATGGTAAGACAAATTGTCTATAAATGGAGAAAGTTCAGCACTGCTGCTACTCTCCCTAGGAGTGGCCGTCCTGTAAAGATGACTGCAAGAGCACAGCGCAGACTGCTCAATGAGGTGAAGAAGAATCCTACAGTGTCAGCTAAAGACTTACAAAAGTCACTGGCAAATGCTAACATCCCTGTTAGCGAATCTACAATATGTAAAACACTAAACAAGAATGGATTTCATGGGAGGATACCACAGCTGTCCAAACAAAACATTGCTGCACGTTTACAGTTTGCACAAGAGTACCTGGATGTTCCACAGCAGTACTGGCAAAATATTCTGTGGACAGATGAAACCAAAGTTGAGTTGTTTGGAAGAAACACACAACACTATGTGTGGCGAAAAAAAGGCACAGCACACCAACATCAAAACCTCATCCCAACTGTGAAGTATGGTGGTGGGGGCATCATGGTTTTGGGATGCTTTGCTGCATCAGGGCCTGGACAGATTGCTATCATTGAAGGAAAAATGAATTCCCAAGTTTATCAAGACATTTTGCCAGAGAACTTAAGGCCATCTGTCTACCAGCTGAAGCTCAACAGAAGATGGGTGTTGCAACAGGACAATGACCTAAAGCATAGACATAAATCAACAACAGAATGGCTTAAACAGAAGAAAATACGCCTTCTGAAGTGGCCCAGTCAGAGTCCTGACCTCAACCCTATTGAGATGCTGTGGCATGACCTCAAGAAAGCGATTCACACCAGACATCCCAAGAATATTGCTGAACTGAAATAGTTCTGTAAAGAGGAATGGTCAAGAATTACTCCTGACCATTGTGCACATGTGATCTGCAACTACAGGAAACGTTTGGTTGAAGTTATTGCTGCCAAAGGAGGTTCAACCAGTTATTAAATTAAAGGGTTCACATACTTTTTCCACCTGCACTGTGAATGTTTACATGGTGTGTTCAATAAAAAACATGGCAACATTTCATTCTTTGTGTGTTATTAGTTTAAGCAGACTGTGATTGTCTATTGTTGTGACTTAGATGATGATCAGATCACATTTTATGACCAATTTGTGCAGAAATCCATATCATTCCAAAGGGTTCACATACTTTTTCGTGCAACTGTAGAGATGATTGATGGGGAAAAGATGATTGATGGCTATGGGCCCAAGACCTCTTCCACATGTCACAGTGTGCTAGTGTGCACATGCATGTCATAGTGTTGAGCATTCAGTCTGTGTCCAAGTGCCCAACTGATCAGTTCGCCTCTGCCCTGAAAGGCCGTTTTAGTGGTTATAGTGCTTGGAGTGCTCCTTTAAGTACACAAATAAGTCATTATCGTCAAAGCAGACTTATACCCGCTGCAAACATAGGTGCTGTGTGGTAATACTAAAAAAGCAGCCACAAGCTCAGTTTAGTTTTTTACATTTAGCCCATGCTCTATCCTTTATGTATTTGAATTGTCTTTTTAACGTATTCATTATTTCACTTTACTGACGCTATAATGTGCTTGTTGGTTGTGTTTCCTGTTGTGTGTTTAGCCTTAAGCCAGATATGTAATATTGCAGTCTCACAGAAGATTTGGCTTGCTATATGTCACAAACGTATTTCGTAAATCAAACTTCTAAATTAAGCTAATCAAATTTCAGCTACAGGCCCATAATGCCCTATACGCGGCACTTGAACTATTTTCTACTGTGATGAAAATTCTTCTTTCTGTAACGCTGGCCTGTCTTTTATAGCATCTTTTAAATATCTCATTACCCACTGCAATGTTAGTGGGTTATGTCAGAGAGCTCTAGGAGCAGATTAAATATATCTTAGTATTTATAATCAGAATATTGGACATATGTTTGAAAGCACCCCAAAATCTTATCAGGCCTTAAAATTTGCAGTTTTTCCAGATGGCATCAGAGAAGCCAAGATTGGAAACATTATAGAGACAGATACGATACATATTTTTCTAAAACAGGTAGACATTTTTAGAGATAAAATATTATTAATCCTGACTAACAACAGTTTTTTCATTGCAAAAAAAGTGCCCCTATTAAAGAGCCTTCTATAAATGAGTTAATTATATATGTGCCCACATGCTTACTTCTAATAGCTACATCTGTAATTGGTGTTTTTGCCTTTATAATTCATGTCTATTTTGTGGTCTGTCAGCTTACATAAATTATTGGCATGGCTGTCAATAATGTCTGCATGAGATGAATAGTGGGAGTTTGACCGAATGGAGCATGAGACTTTTTTTCGCTCTCGCTCATCTCTTTTTTTGAAGTTGAGTTGATCGTAGAATAGCTATTATTTTACATGGATAGACAATGAAGATATTTAGGTATCTGTTTTGTATTTTGTAAGTATCAAATATTTTATCTTAGAGGGAAGTGAAACTGAAAAAAACTCTAGCAAGCAGTTACATATTTAGAAATATGGGGAGCGGATGAAGGGATGTTATTTTGTATATAAAGCAGAAATGATAGCTGAGTAACAAAAATAGCATTGTTGCCATCAAATATGGAAATGACAATATTGCAAGAAACTTTGTGAAGTTAGTTAATGGGTACTTAATACCAAGAGGGCCAAGCCTTTATGCTGGTGCTTTAGAAAATAAATGGTCCAGAATGTCTCCAGGTGTGTGCAAAAAGCCTTTATTTGTGCCCCTAACTACAGTAAGAGGGCATAAATACATTTATTTTTGCAGGAGTAGTTATTTTGGAGAAGTACTGTACTATTTATTTTCTCTTGTGCAGTTGTAGCTGTTTTGGTGGGACAAAACACACGCTTTCTGACTCTCGACATACCCTAGGCACACATATTACACCACAAATACAAGTGTTGCACCCTCCATTAAAAATAAGTTTGGGTACCTCTCTGCTCTAATTTTGTATTATACATGTAGTGTTCCTTTGTATTACTAGAGGCACCTGCTATTTTCCATAAATTCGTACTGAGCCCAAAGGTGGAAATGGACATAGCACCATATTCACATCTGAATAATAGTGGGCCCCCAAGCACCCACATGGGTAATTCAATAACCACATCATCTCACAGAATATAGGACTAAGGTTTGATTTTTTTAATGTTGTCCTCTACTCATCACTAACTAGGTGGGAAACAGTGCAGTGGGGACTTGTACTGCCACTCAACAGTTTTTGTGATACCTTTATTTATTTTCAGTTTTATTACAATTTACTCAGCATTAAGTGTTGATAAAAGCAGTAATAAAACCACTACAGCCCACTCTAGTGATTATGATGCTAGGAGTACCATGGCACCATTCCCTGGTAATGGGGCAAACCATTTTGCAACAAAGTGCCCTCTTACATGGATCTTAATGGGTGCCGAGCCTCCTAACATACCTGGTTGTGTGCATCTGACGGCTGAGAAAATAATCATGTCAGTACAGCATTGAAAGAAAGATCCCATTACCAGGATTTGTGATATCTGCCTTTGGCTTTGCATTGGGCGTTATATGCTTGATACCCTAAAAGACAGGTTTGCATAGTGTCCTGTTTTTTAGGACTGCCATTTGGTTACAGACCTCTATAAAGCATTGTTTCCCAAATACACATATCAATAGGTTTATAGTTTTGAACAGAGGTTGATGTATGATTGGGTTAGGGGATGAGTACATGGGGTAAAGTGAATTCAACAGTCGAGGGGGCAATATCCCACCATCTTTTATCTTTACTAGCATCCAATGGGTCATATCATAGTTTACTGCTTGTTTAACATGTGGTATGTTGAGGGATAGGGAAGACTGTGCTGCGCCGCTCACTTCACCCCCTATTTACGACAAACAACAGGGTAGGACAAGACTGGTCATTAATTAGTGAAAGTTTCACCTTGTGTTTTTGTGTGAGTATCTGTGTATTTATCTATTTATAAATATTTGCATCTGTGTGTATATATTTGTGTCTGTAACTGTGTGTATATTAGGTCCCACATTTTAAGTTCTAGAATCGTCCATGTTCACTGGAATGGCTAGAGATAAAACTGTATTACAGATTTCTAATAAATATAACTTTACATAAACATTATTATTATTATTTAAAGAGCAGATGTCTCTACCCAGTATATTTAAAATCATGCTTACTTATCTCCTGTAGTTAACAAATAAGCATTTATAATGTGTGAAAATAACTTTTAGAAATCAACATCCCTCTATCCTGCAGCTGGGCACTTTTATCTTAGCACCCTGTCAATCACTTTATGTTATACATTTTGGATTTTGAGCATGCCTGGGAGCATAGAGAAAGCATAGAGAGTTGGAATTGACTCAAACAATGTTTCGATTTCTGTTTCTCGTGTGCAGCTTGGCTGGGCTGAACTATATAGTGATATAATTTGTTAATCTTTAACATAAATTTAAAACAAAACAATAAAATAAAACAAATTATAGGAAAGTTCCAATATTTTATTCACAGTTTCCCTTTAAACCAGTTTTTGATCTGCTGAAAACACTGAATTATTGTTTGTTTTTTGTTGTTTTGTGTGTGTCTGCTATTAACTGGTTAACTGCAAAGCAAATGCATTGAAGCTAAATGGAATATTTCCTGGCAGAATAAAGTCCCTGTGCAGCAGGAGCGTGAGACATCGATAGCACAGAGTATGGAAACCTACATAACACTTGACTACAAGAAGATTTAAATTGGCTCGAAGGTGCTAATGAGCTGTTCATGCAGCAATGGGAAAAAAGAGGGCAGCATATCAGGATTATACCATTAAATGCAGAGCCTCCTGCTAGTGATTTGCTTTCTGTACCTCATCATCCAATCAGCCAACACATTGTATATCAGTACAAAAAGATAAGTCACTCCCATCACTCCTGGGCAGCAGCAATGACCACAGTACACATCAGCTCCAATATATAGTTAAAAACCAAAGGAAAAAAATTTACCTGCGCTCTCTCCTTAATCCCTATGTATATTTAGACAAATGGAGGTAATTTAGTTACTCCAATGGCCATTGGAGGGAATGCCCGCCTGCCAACGTCAAGGCAGACCCCCTAAGCGGGTCCTACACTGACCCTTCACCTTGCTTCCTTGAGCTTCTGGCAAAGATAGCTCCACTGAGACAACTCTCTGTCCATTTGTCTAAATATACATAGGGATTAAAGAGAGAGCGCATGTAACTTTTTTTTTCTTTGGTTTTTAATATTGTATATCAGACACAATTTTAACATGCTCTTCTATATTTAAGGTCAATGGTCAGCATCTATACCCATGTCCTCTCCACATGTCTCCTCTTGAAAGAGACACTCTAAGAATCCAAACGACTTTAACTTAATGAAGCAGTGTTTGTGTATAAATATTCAACCTGCAGTCTTAATCAGGCCTGGACTGGCCATCGTGCAAAAAACCTGGTGGGCCACAATGGCCATGGGCCAAGACCAGCAGTGGAGATCAGAGGAGCAGGGTCGGCACTATCCGAGCACCGACCCTGCTGTGTGCCATGACTGGCCGGTGGGGAGATCAATGATCTCCCTCATCGGCCCTCTGGCACCTCACTGTAGCAACTGACAGGGGAGGGAGGAGAGATCCCGGGAGCTCGAGCCAGAAGTTCCTCCAGGTTCCTCTTGCGAGGTCGGAGCGTTGTCACGGTTACCATGGCAAAAGTGAATTCTAGCCCCAGAAGCTGCTGGCTAGAGTTCACTCACCACTAGGACCACCAGGGATTGCAGGCATTGTCCCCCCTCTCTGGGCAAAGGTAGGAAGGGGCGGGGGGATATAAAGTATATTTGTTTCAATAAAAAATTTTTAAATGACACAGATATATTTGCTTTAATCTGCCTCACACTGCACCCATCAACCACACAGTGCCCGCTTCACACACACTACACCTCTCACACACACACACTGCACCCCCACACATACTGCACTCCCCCCACCTCTCACACGCACACTGCATCCCCCAACACAGTGCACCTTATACAAACACGAGCACATGCTCACACACTGCACCTCACACGCACAATGCACACTTCACGCACACACACTGCACTCTTCGCACGCTGCACTCCTACACACTTTACATTCCAGACACACACACTACATCCCTTATACACACACACTAGATCCTATACATAGCTCTGGATCTTCTACACACACACATGGATACACACACTAGAGCCCCTATACACACATTGAACCCTCTACACATGCACACACTAAATATCATATGCATACTCTGGGTTCTCCACACACACTAGATCCCCTTTAAGCAAACATGCACGACTTGCCCTATACACACACTTTACAACCCCTACAGCCCGATACACTTGCTAAATCCCCTAACACACGCTTTCTCACTCTTGACATACCCTAGCCATGCCACACATATTACACCACAAATACAACACAACTGAAACTGACATTTACACAAAACACCACACCACTATCAGCTCGCTCTACACACATTCCCTCAAGCAGGCTCCAAACACATGCACAATATGCTTTCCTTCCTCTTATGGAGACACCAGAGACAAGTCACAAGCAAACATAGTGCAAGCATGTTAACAATTTGCTTGCGCTGTGCAGAACAAATACAGGGCATTTATCTCAGCAGGGCTCTGCGCATGGGCTACCCTGGAAGTGCATTGAACCGACATGCTCACCCCCCTCTCTAGCCACGCTCCCTTCTCAGTGGGCCGCTATGATTAAAAAATGGCCACATATTTTTCCTAGTCTAGCCCTGGTCTCAATAATAAATTATCTGGTATTTAGGTGTTAAATCCCTCTTGATTCTATTTAGGCCTTCCTAGACACATCTGCTTGGCCTGTGACTGACATAAGCTCCATTAAAATTGTTACATTTTAATTAGCTCTTACAGCACAGTGTTTTCACATTAGAAGTTATTTCTCTTGCTCTGTGAAAGGACCTCTAAAGGCACCCAGACCACTTGATCTTAATGAAGTGGTCTGGGTGCAGTGGTCCTGTAGTTTAACCTTACAATGTAAAACACTGTAGTTTTGTAGAAACACCAGTGTTTTACATTGCAGATTTAAACACCCCCCCATTGGCTGCCTTCCTGACAGACTCTATAGGCGCCTTTGCAGCAACGACTGAGTTTAACCAATGACAAGCATTTGAATGGATGTGAGCACTTGCTTCACATGCGCATCAGTTCTCAATACTCCTCTATGGATTGGACAAACACCTGGGATGCGATGCCTCCACTATGACATTGCAGTAAGTGGAGCAGTTGCAGCTCCAAGGGAGTCTCAGCACTGAAGTAAAGGTAAGTAGAACATATCAGGAATTCATAATGTTATAGTGTAACAATAACACACAGGCTCTAGCAGGCAACTAGCAGAGCAGGAGATAATAAATTCTAAATTAAACACACAGCAGTATGGGAAGCTGAAAAATGTTAACTCTTTTTTTTCCAGGAAGTGTGTAGCAAGACTGTGTAAGGGATATGTGGCTAGAGTTACATTGAAAAAAATATTTAACTCCTAAATGGCAGAAAACTGAACTACAAGACTGCAGGGGTGTGATCTATACACAAAACCACTTAATTAAGAACGTTGTTTTGGCGTTTAGAGAGCTTTTGAAATAGGAAGCAATATTTATTAGGAATATTTTCCATTCAGGTCAAATAGAGGAATTTATTTAGATGCAATTTTCTTTAGCTGCTATAATTATGGGGGAGGGTTTCTTTGTTACTTTTTTTTTATTTTTGGCCATTTTTTCATAATAATGCCTGTTATATATGTATTGTTGTAGAGGGGGATTTTCTTTTCTTTGGTTAAGTTTGTGATATTTTTTTCATGCTAAGGCCACAATTAAATTTTTTTGGGGAAAAAAAGCTAGTCAAAATTATCGATTGTTTCCAGACATTTTTTAATTGAATTTTAGTTGGATTTAAAAACCTTTTTGAGCTTTAAAAATCTCAGGTGAAAAAGACATACGTATAGATAATAATAACAACAGTATCTCTATGTATGGTTCAGGCAGATCTTGGGTGATCAAGTCATGATATGGGGAATTTGTAATTTAGACTTTTATCACTCACAATGGAGTCTTTGCATGGCCATCTGAACATGGAGTCTATGAATGACTGTCTGAACCATGCAGACTCTGCAACAAAAAAATAACAAACTCTGCTTAGAGGTGCTAGCTCTCAATGGCATCAAAGATCATAGTAATAGTCTAATATACGTGCTGATATGAAATACACAAACCGCTAACGTTGTTTTATTTTCCACCTCTGTGTAGCTGTGCCTGGGACAATGGTGCAGCTGGGATCTAGCCTGGCAGAAAAAGGAGAGAATGACCAAGGGCTGGATGAGGACAAAGTGCCCTTGATAGCTCCTCTAGATGTCAACCAGCTGGAGCAACCCTTCCCTGATAAGGTAGGAAGCTGGTGGGAGAGCTAGGAGTTCAATAGGGACATATTAAGATTATAAATGTAACACCATCCCTTTTAGTTACAACTATATTGATCTACATTTGCAAAATTATAAAGTGGTACAAATATTAACTAGGAACACAAGATTTTGTCTAGACATTTTTTTTGGAACCTTCTTATGACAAGTTTTCGTAGAAAGTTGTGCAACTCCCGGTCTCTGTGATAAGGTGTGCATATACAATGATCAGGCACCACATTAAAACCACTTACCTAATATCGTATCATGCTGCCAAAACATCTCTGGTGTGCCTAGCCATGGACTCAACAAGACATCTTAACGTGCCCTGTGGTATCTGGCACCAATACATTAGCAGCAGATCCTCCAAACTGTGAGGTGGGGCCTCCGTGGTTTAGATTTGTTGTTCCAACACATCTCACAGATGCTCAATCATATTGAGATATGGGGAATTTAAAGGCCAAGGCATCACTTTGAAGTCTTTGTCATGTTCCATTCTTGAACAATTGTTGCAGTGTGGCATGGTGTATTAACATGCTGAAAGAGGCCACCGCCATCAGGGAACACCATTGTCATGAAGGGGTGCACGTGGTTTGAATCAATCTCTAGGAAGGTGGTATGTGTCAAAGAAACATCCATATGAATGTCAGGACCTAAGGTTTCCAAGCAGAACATTGCCTAGAGCCTAACACTACCTCTGCCACTTCGCTTCTTCCCACAGTGCATCCTGCTGCCATCTCTTCCCCAGGTAAATGGCGCACACACACACACACTCTCACACCCATCCACCTGATCTAAAACACATGATTCATTATACCACGCAACCTTATTTGCTCCTTGGTCTATATTTGATGCTCATGTTCCCATTGAAGGTGCTTTTGGCGATAGACAACAGTCATCATGGGCCATCATGCAGTATTGCAGCTCTATATGCAACAAACTGCAAAGCACTGTGTATTTTGACACCTTTCTATCATCAATAAGTTATTTTTAGCTATTTAGGCTACAGTAGCTCTACTATGTGATCAGACCAGACGGGCTAGCCTTCCCTCCCCATGTGCATCTATGAGCCTTAGGCACCCACGACCTTGACGCCAGATCACCGGTTGTCCTTCCCTGCACCACTTTTGGTAATTACTAACCACTGCGAGGAACACCCCACAAGACATTCCATTTTGGAGATGCTCTGGCCCAATCATCCTGTCATCACTGTTTGGCTCATGTCAAAGTCATTCAGATATTTTTGTTCATTTTATCTGCTTCCAACACATGAAATTCAAGATCTGACTGTTCACTTGCTGCCTAATATATCCCATCCCTTGACAGGTGCCATTGTAATAGACATGTGCAATTCGTTTCGGTCCGAATGTGAATTCGGCCGAATTTCGGGAAATTCGGTCATTCGGGTACTTCCGAATGTCCGAATAGATGAATTGCCGAATTGCCGAATGGTCGAAGTCCCGAAGTTCAGAAATTACCAAATTTCCGAAGTTCCGAAGTTCCGAAGTCCCGAAGTCCCGAAGTTGCCGAAGTGCAGAAGAGCCGAAGTGCAGAAGTTCAGAAGCATAGTATTGCCTAAGAACTAATATACTTACCCAGTGGAAGAATGAAGAATGTTACACTGTATACAATTTTAAATAAAAAGTATACAAACATAGCCAGGATTCAGCTGTAAGCATTTGCAACACTTACAACAACCAAGTAACATACATTCATATAAAATGTAAGTTACTTAGCCAGTCAGTGTAATGACAGGAATGAATAAGTAGATAACTCCCTTATTCCCACGGTATTAGGGAGCTATCTACTAAAAGGCTGGAAGACCTAAATTGGTCTTTCAGCCAAATTTACTAATACTAAGTAAAGATTACTTAGTATTAGTAAATTATGCCCCTACTCGCTATACTGCGAGTAGGGGCATGCCTATTAAACAGTGAGCAGCCTAAGTCCCCCCCCTCCCGAGCCCCCATACTAATAAGGGGGGATCTTATGTCCTCCCCCCTGAGCGGTGGGTGGGGGCCCTACAGTAAAATAAGGGGGGACCTAATGTCTTCCACCCTGGCCCCCACCCCTGAGCTGTGGGTGGGGGCCCTAAATACTAATAAGGGGGGACCTAATGTCCTCTCCCCTGGCCCCCACCCCTGAGCAGTGGGTGGGTGCCCTAAATACTAGTAAGGGTGGGGGACCTAATGTCCTCCCCCCGGCCCCCACCCCTGAGCGGCGGGTGGGGGCGCTAAATATCAATAGGGGGACCTATTGTCCTCCCCCCCGGCCCCCACCCCTGAGCGGCGGGTGGGGCCCTAAATAAAAAAGTTACCCCCCCAGGTGACTAGGGGTCCCCAAACCCCTAGTCACCCCCTCCCCCCCCAAAAAAATTAATCCCTACCTACCCCCCTCACCCTAAAAATAATGAGTTAATTAATTACCTGTAAAAAAATTACCATTTGATGTCTTCTTTCTTCTAAAATCTTCTTTTTTAAGCCCCAAAAAAGGCCAAATAAAAAATCCATAATAACCGACGCACTTTTAAAAAAAAAAAAAAAATTTTTTTAAAAAAGCGCAAAATAAATAATCCATTTTCACCCATTGAGGGCTCCGCGCAGACGGAGCTCTGCAGGGTCGGGGAAGGCGTATAAAGCCTTTCCCCGCCCTGCAATTAGGCTCAGAGCACTCTGATTGGTGGGTTTAAGCCATCCAATTAGAGTGCTCTGACAGGTAAATGAAGAGACTGACAGGTAAGTCTCTACATTCACCTTTCACAGCACTCTGATTGGTTGGCTTGAAATCCACCAATCAGAGTGCTCTGTGTCATTTTACACAGCGTTGGAAAGTTCTTTGTAAAACAGGCTGCTCACTGTTTAATAGACATGCCCCTACTCGTGGTATAGCGAGTAGGGGCAAAATTTACTAATAATAAGTAATTTTCACTTAGTATTAGTAAATTTGGCTGAAAGACCAATTTAGGTCTTTCAGCCTTTTGGTAGAAAACTCCCTAATACCGTGGGAATTAGGGAGTTATCTACTAAGCGGCTGCAAGAGAAGTCCCGAAGTGTCGAAATGCAGAAGTTCCGAAGTTGCCGAATTTCCGAAGTGTCAAAGTGTCAAAGTGCCGAAGTGCCGAAGTTGACGAAGTTCCGAAGTCCCGAATATCGGAATGCCGTAACGAACCTAAAATTTTCCCCATGCACATGCCTACATTGTAACAATATAATCAATGTTATTCACTTCACCTGTCAGTGGTTTTAATGTTGTGGCTGATCAGTGTATAGCTGAGTACATACATTTTCCAATATTTCTAATTTTGTTCCTTCCTAGGCAGGGCTTGAAAGTAGAGGCATGATTGTATGATGAGTGCATGCTAAATGCATGGATATCAAATTTGGAAAAAGTTGCCCTCCTTTCAATCATTCTTATACCGTTTATTACACACGTTCTATGTATCAGAAGAAAAAAAATGCTTACCTACAACTCAGTCACATCTTTTCCTGTTGCAAGGGGAATAATCTTCCTCTTTACCAACTGGATACACATAAAAGTATTAATGAAAGAATCTGGGATGGTTAAATGGCATTTAAAGCAAAGACAGTGGTCATGAATCTGTAGATCTGTAGATTCAACATCTTTTATTTCCCTTCTTTGGTTAACTCTGCCCCTCTAATGAAAAAGACGCTGAGAACATACCCTACCTAGAGCATCACTTGAATCTACAGATCTACATGTCTTACTGTGGTTTTTATTTTCAGCTGATTGTAAAGACACGGACAGAATATCAGCTGCAGCAAAAGAAGAAAAGAAAGATCCATGTTCCAGGAATCAAACGTCTAAACATCAACCTTTATGATGAGGTATCTGAGAAAGTCAAGGTGAGTGCTTATAAATCATCTCCTCTGATCCTCACTTCAACTGGGGAATTCCTCCTCTAATCATTTAGTAGATCGATGGTTATTTAAGCATTAGAGCCAGTGAACTAATGTCAATAAAAACAGCAATGTTGAGATGGGTAACAATATCAAAACTCCAGGACACACTTGAAAACTAGCAAAGGCTAAATCTACCCGACTTTAAATACTTTCATGGTATTACAGAGGAAGACTAATTATGCAGAAGAGTGATTAGTTTTCCAATGCAAAATATGTCTGTAATATTTTTCCCTTTCTCTAGGAATCTTCCCAACTCTTTAATTTCAAAACATGCTCCACACTCTCATTAGGGAAGTTCAAATATGTGATAATGTGCCAGAGTTTCTTGGATTATTGTATTACTTGCAAAACAAACTTTATAAGGTATAAACACTGTGTTGATTGGCATTAAAGTTTGCTTATGCAATAAGTCAATTTGCACAAAACAATATTTACCATGCATTATATAAGTCAGTGTACAAACCAGGAGACCCGGTGAGATGGTTCTTTCTAATTCCTCACATCATACGCACTGATGTGGGTGTTTAATGTAGATATGGTGGGCCGTCTCCCATCTGCTTCATCCTCCATCCCTTGGGATGAAGCTTTAAAATAATGATTCCCAATGAGATGGGAGATGTTTTATTGAGTAGATACCCAAGGGATACCTTGTACTAACTCTCCGTAGCCAGTGTGGTTGGCAAGGGATAAACAAAAGAAAGCAATGGGCTTTTCATAATTTAACTAGGGGAGATCGGGGCACTGGTCTGCCTTATCCAGCACCTATACATGATGGGTAAGGGGATACATATGAAATTGATGGTCCAAATACAACAATTGGGAGAATTAGGCAGTAACTATAATGAGGAATGGTCAGTTTCCAGCATGTAAAATAAAATTAGCTGTTTATTAATCATATGCCAGGAAACTGTGTAGTGACCAAATGCATTATGATTTCAGTTATTGATATAGGGCCAACATATTCCTCAGCGCAGTACAACAGGAAAGAAGACAAACATTTAATTCTAACCAAACATGTGTAGCATATGGAAACAGTAGGTGAAGATGGCCCTGTCAAAAAGAGCTTATAATCTAACAACCTGTACATTTAGCACATTATATATTGTTGCAGTGTTCCTCTGCCCAATGTAGGGCAATTGCCTTTTATGTCAGGAAACCATTAAGTGTATATTTCAGCAGTGAAAAACAGATAACATTCGTATCTTGTAATACCTTTTTTATTGGACTAACAGAATGTTTTAATGACAAGCATTTGGGAAAACCTCCCTTTATCCAGTTTAGCATTTCTGAGCAAGACACACATAGAAGTTCAAAGCGACATGAGTGCAGATAAGACAAAGGTTTGATAGAAAATAGACACCATTTTTGCAGAGGGTCGTAAATATCCTGTGTGAAGATCACAAAGTGAGCGGGGAGAGAGAGAAATAAAAACAAGCAAACAGTGCAGAAGATGGTGCTAGAAAGGGAGAGTAAAAAAATAATAATTACTTATATTAAGAATGCATGAATTCCAAGAGTTACAGGATATGCACGAATGCCTATATCCAGCATACACACACACACTCACATGTACATATACATAAACACAGGTAGTGTATATGTACAAGTATACACAAGTACATACAATACACATACAATATACACAAGTACATGCAACAATATACATTTAAATACAACCAAATGCACAAATATATGTACATGCACACCAGTACATAGATCCACACAAGCACCTACACATGTACAAATGTGCATACACTTACATGGACCCATATATATATATATATATATATATATATATATATATATATATATATATATATATATATATATATATATATATACACACACACACACACACACACACACACACACACACCTATTCACATATACACACATTTGATACATACACACACAAATTATATATATATATATATATTTACACGCATACACATACACACAAACATACATACATACATATACTCCTACATACACACATATACATATACTTATTTATATATATACCTATTTACATATACACACACTTGATACATACACACACACAAATATAGTGGAAAATTTATTCATACTTACCGTAATTTTCTTTTCCTGGCTATTATTCATGGCAGCATATACACATGGGTAAGCTCCTCCCCTACAGCCGATAGGACAGGAAAACCACCAAGGTTTTAAAAGGAGGCTCCATCCCTAAGGTCCTCAGTCAGTTTACAAGCTCTACAGTACATAAATAGAGACATTAATGGGTGGGAAGTATATGCCGCCATGAATAATAGCCAGGAAAAGAAAATTACGGTAAGTATGAATACATTTTCCCCTTTCCTGGCTAATCATGGCAGCATATACACATGGGGAATACCCAAGCTTACAAAGGGAGGGACAGAATAGCCAATCAAATTGTCAGAATAATTCAATATAGATAGAAGAATGAACTGAGTTAAGTACTTGAGAACCAAATTGTGCATCATAGACTGTTTTAATGAACAGTATGAAATGCCAGACAAACGTGTCTAAAGAGGTTCAAATGCTAGCTTACAAAAAGTGTCAGCAGGAACCATTGCCATGGCAACCCATGATGCTGCAACAGCATGAGAGGAGAGTGCCCTGATACCCTCCAGCACAGGTAGAGAACGGACGTGACGTCCAAATTGTGCCTCATTAATTGCTTCAATGTCCAATATGTAATGCAGGACAAACTAGTTCAAAGAGGTCCAAATGCCAACTTTACAAAGCTTCAGCAGAGACCATTGCCATGGAAGCCCACGAGATGCTGTAACAGCACTAGTGGAGAATGCCCCAAATCATTTGCTACAGGTAAAGAACGGCATTGAAAGGCTCTCACTTTAGGCACGATCACTGGTGCTACATGCAAGACAACCATATCCAGTTGAAATTCAGTGAATGGGGGTACACAGGGTCAAGCCTGGAGTTCACCCATTCCCCTTGCTGGGGTACCAGCCACCAGCACTTTCTGTGCTACCACCATGGAAGCTCCTTCTAGAGGTTTGAATAATGGTTCAGTCAGGGCCCGTGAGACCAGTGGTACGTCACATATTGGCTTCACCACACTCAGTGGAGGCATGATTTCAATCAATGCCTATATGAAGCAAAGTGCAGCTAAGTGCACACATTCACCCTGCTGAGGTACCAGTCAGCAACAGCAACGTCTGGGCTAACATCATGGAAGCTCCTGCTAGAAGTTCAGTCAGAGTCTGTGAGACCAGTGGTACGTCACATATTGGTTTCAACACCCTCAGCGGAGGCTTGAGTTCAATTGTTGCTTACATGAAGCAAAGCACCAGGGGCATCAATGCTCAATCGGTACCCTTCAGTACAGGTAGAGAATGACATAGATAAGCATTCACCATAGGCAGGATCTTCAGGTGCCAAATGCAAGACGACCATACCTGTTGAAAAGTAGTGAAAGGGGGTTCACAGGATCAAACCTGGAGTTCACCCATTTTCCTTGCTGGGGTACCAGCCACCAGCACTTTCTGTGCTACCACCATGGAAGCTCCTTCTAGAGGTTTGAATAATGGTTCAGTCAGGGCCCGTGAGACCAGTGGTACGTCACATATTGGCTTCACCACACTCAGTGGAGGCATTTCAATCAATTACTATATGAAGCAAAGTGCAGCTAAGTGCACACATTCACCCTGCTGAGGTACCAGTCACCGGCAACAGCAACGTCTGGGCTAACATCATGGAAGCTCCTGCTAGAAGTTCAGTCAGAGTCTGTGAGACCAGTGGTACGTCACATATTGGTTTCAACACCCTCAGCGGAGGATTGAGTTCAATTGTTGCTTACATGAAGCAAAGCACCTGGGGCATCAATGCTCAATCGGTACCCTTCAGTACAGGTAGAGAATGACATAGATAAGCATTCACCATAGGCAGGATCTTCAGGTGCCAAATGCAAGACGACCATACCTGTTAAAAAGTAGTGAAAGGGGGTTCACAGGATCAAACCTGGAGTTCACCCATTTTCCTTGCTGGGGTACCAGCCACCAGCACTTTCTGTGCTACCACCATGGAAGCTCCTTCTAGAGGTTCGAATAATGGTTCAGTCAGGGCCCATGTGACCATTGGTACGTCACATATTGGCTTCACCACACTTAGTGGAGGCATGATTTCAATCAATGCCTATATGAAGCAAAGTGCAGCCAAGTGTTCCTCTAGAGTGTTATAACAAAGAACCTTTCAAGGCCTGAACGAGGAGTAATTCCAACAGACAAAAGCATGTCAAGCTTAGTAAAGCCTGTATAGGATTGTAAGAGGATCTCAATGACCGTCTCAGGGATGCCTATACTAATATGGACTCCCGCATCAACACCAGAACTTGAGGATCTTGGTGTGTCATGGGGCCTTGTAATAGGTCTGGACGTACAGGAATTTCCCTTGGAGGTTCCAGAATCATCTTATTCATCATAGGAATTAGAGTTGACACGGTCTTCCACTGTCACCTTTTGCATTGCCTTTTTAAGAAGTTCGAAAACAGGAAAATATGTACATCAGACTAAAATTCGAAATTTGAGCCAGTGTATCCTGAACCTGAGCATTCTGGTCCTAGCATGTAAAAAATACTTCTGGACCTGGTAGTTCCAAGAAATGGCCATCAGATCTATGTAGGGTATCAGACAATCTGCATCAACCACGAGGATACGTCAGGACATGGTTGCCAATCCACCTTGTCCACAGTTATTCGGCTCCAGCAAACAGCCATGGTATTCTGAGCCACTGGTTGTTCTTCTGTGCCTTGATCATTATGGGCTGGAATTCCATCAATACGTATCTGTGAGACCCATCTTGGTAGATATAGGATACAGTTGCATTGATATTTGAGCAAATTTGGACCCACTCGTTCTTCAGCAAGCCTCTGAAGTGAAGAAGAGTCTTGAAAATGACTCTTAATTCCATACAAATGAATGGAAATATTGTGCAACATGGTCCAAACACTGTGTAACCAATCATATAAAAACTGGAATTCGAGCTAATAATTGACCAATGAGGTTCTGTTCACTGGAAACTCAGATCTAATCCCTCTTTCAGCTGCCAGGGTAAGGTGCAACTCCACTGATGGGGACATAGTAAGTGGCTGGCTCCAATAATCTTTCTCTTGTTAGACAAAGATAGGAAGGATCTGTAAGGAATCCAGAGATGCCATTGGGCCCATCTGACAAGTCTGCTGGTGGAAGCCAGGATTCCTAGTAGTTGCCTCTATTTTCTTGCTGTTACCAAGCAGAAATGAAGAAACTGGGAGAGAAAACCTTTACAATCTGTGGAACTGTTCCCGAGATAGGGAAAAGTAGAGCCTAGAACTTTCCACTCAGGAATGTCAACCACTGAGCTGGTCTGAAACTGCTTTTCTTGATATTCATCAAGCAGCCAAACATTAGGAGTTATGAAAGAACTATATACCTATGTGTGCCTGCCTTCCGAGGGTCTAAGGCTATCAGAAGTAGATCCTCCAGATAATGGAACCAGGTGGAGTTCTGGACTCTCAATAACACTATAAGCAGATAGAAAGATCCTTGGGGCCGCATTGAGGCCAAATGGTAGGGCACTAGCATGGAAGTTCTCTTCTGAGCTAATGCCGAAGATCTCTGCAGATTGGACTGAAAGTAAGCATCCTTGAGATATATAGAGGTAACGAAATTATCCTTCCAGATTGCTTGAGATATGGATCTGATTGATTCCATCCCGAAGACTAACATTCAGCCTCTTATTGGCCCCTCTTAAGTCCAGTGTAGGCTTTCATGTGCTTTTCCTCTTAGCACCAGAAGAGAGGCGAAACTTGTCCCTGGAACTGCTCTTGTTCTGGGACTTAAAATTTTTTTATTTTTTTTTTATTTTTATTTTTTTAACACCTCTTCATCTAGAAGGCTTCTTCCTTCAGTGCTTTACCTTTTGATTCATTGGTTTTAATACTCCTGTTGGTATGGAGACTCCTGTGCCCGTTAAGAAAAAACTCCAGTCTATATCAATCTGGACCATGGATACCACTCAAGCCTCCAGAGTATGACAAGCCCAGGTATGTGTGATCAGAATGAGGCTCCTAGTACTGGAGGAGATATGTTCATTGCTGAAGAGCAAAACGACTGCGTTATAGCTCCATTAGAACCTTGAAAGGCAGGTTTACCAACTGCCATGAGTTACCTCTGGAGTATTCCCTGCAGGGCCAGTAGCACATTGTATCTCAGAAATACTGGTCACTGGAGGTTCTCCGGTCAGACTATGAGGAGCTGGGATCCTTGGAACTTCCATCCTAAGGTACCAATATCTTGCAGCCCTCATTCGCCTTTTCAATGGAATTATCAGAAGTTTTCCCAAACAGCACCACCCCTTCAAACAGAATGGTGTAGAGGGCAGACTTGGAGGATGAGACATCATCCCAGAAACAGAACCATAATGCTTTCTTAGCTGCTATAGATAAAGCCATTTGATCCAGAGAATATCCTAGTTACATCTAGGGAAGTTTCTGTGAAGAAGTCAGTTGTAACCTGAAGACTTCAGACTGCCTCTTCAATCTTGGCTTTTATTATCTCTCTCCATAGTAGCCTTTAGATCTTTAATCACATATTTCATGTTTGTAGAAACAGCAGCGGAAATCACAGCTGGCTGGCCTCCTGCAATGGTAGGCGTAAAATTTTGGACAGGTCTGCGTCCACCTATGATCCATAAGTGTGCAACTTAGGTGGTGTAGTTCTGGGGTTGGAAATAACTTCCTCCACATGGTAAAGCCTGGCCTCTTTTCTTACCCCTAAGGCCTCTGGAAGTTACTTTGTAAGCCCTGCCCGCATGTCATGTGGCTGCACAGTGATAGGTCATGCTGAAGCGACAACCTTCTGGAGGAAGTCAGTGCATAACCGATTCCATCCACTGTTTTCTCCTCATAACCAGATCCTGGTGAAGAATCAGACACCTGACAAATAATAACTAAATATTACCTGTGGTAAAGTATTAAGAAAAAATGTGCACTGTTAAATTCTATAAGAAACCAGCGAAACAGCTTTAAAACAGGCTAAAGACAGCACTTATCCATGTCTGGAGACCCTGCAAATACTTACCCAATAAGTGTATGTTTACTGTAAGTTTCCCTTTATTTTAGGCACTTTCTGGCAATTGCCCTTATCCAAGATGGCTGCCACAACTTGTATTCCCACAATGCAAGTCATCTGTATTAGGCCCAATAAGGCACAAACTGCACACATGTGGGCCTATTCCGAGTGTGTTTGCTGTTTAGAGACCAGGAAGAGGACTGTCTGAAGCCTACATGGCCCCTAAACACCCAGGGAACCAGGAATAAATCACTGGGACCGAGGGGGAAGCAAAATAGATAAAAAAGTGCCTGCAAGGAAGTTTAAAATGCAACCACGTGCAAAAAGGTCAAAGTTTAAAGGCACCACAGTCTAAAGGCCTCAAGGTATAAAAGGTAACACAGTTTTCAAATCTAACAGTTTCCAAAATATAACACAGTTTTTAAAATATATCAGTCTTCAAATGCACTGCAGTTTTCCAATGCACTGCGGTTTCCAATGACTTGCGGTATTACATGCAACAGTATTAAATGCAAATTTAAATGAAATAGTTTTAAATGCCACACAGCTTAAATGCAACACAGCTTAAATGCTTCCTAGCAAAAGCACAACCGCATAATGTACAACAATCTTAAAAATAAGGTACAGCTGTATAATGTACTAGTTTAAAGATATCAAAGCTTAAATGCATCACAGCATAAAAGCACAACTGCATAATGTACTACAGTAAAACAGAAAATAAAGTAATGAAGATAAAACAACATACATGTCCGTAAGTAAAGGGAGCAAATTGCTCACGTCCTAAGGGCTGTAGGACAGGAAAAAGACTGAGGACCTTAGGGATGGAGCCTCCTTTTAAAACCTTGGTGGTTTTCCTGTCCTATCGGCTGTAGGGGAGGAGCTTACCCATGTGTATATGCTGCCATGATTAGCCAGGAAATATATTTATACGCATACACATACACACAAACATATATATACACATACACACACACACACACATATACATAAACAAATAAACATATATGTGATAGAAAGGTTTTTAAGGTTTTAGGAATCACCTTTCATGTGCCTAGCAGCTTACATCTTCTAATGTTGATATACAATTGTTCATTTATTTAATTAATTGCGCTTTTTTTTTTATTGTTTTAAAATATACATACATGCACATGAACTCATATACACAAATATAAATGCACAGTCACATATATAAGCATAAGAGTATGGGAAAGCATACATAGTACTTTGTATATTGATATAATAAACATGTCATTGGAATGCAGTTTAAGATGTGGACACATGACAGAACAGTGAGATAATGCAGGGGAGTGTTCATGTAAAGTGGGACAGGAAGCTCAAATCACTATTTATGCATAGCACATTGTGGCACAGTATTATTTATTAGAGGATTTCGATTTTCTAATAGATTAAAGCGACACTATAGTCACCAGAACAATTACAGCTTAATGTAGTTGTTCTGGTGTCTACAGCCTGTCCGTGCAGGACAAAATGCAGTGATTACACTAATGCCTAGTAACACCTCTAGTGGCAGCCACTTGAGGTGCTTCCGGAGTCAGTGCTGCAAAATGTGAATTTGTGGACGTTCAACCAAATGATGGCTGGCTGAGCAACATAATACCTGATGTAACTATTGGCCATTGCTGGTCTAGACCCATACATAATTTGAGAATTAGCAACGGTTTTAGTTTTATTTAACACATTTGCAATGAAGGGCACTTTATACACTAAAAATCTAATTAACACTGAAACTATAACATCATCCAACCAAAATGTATTAAGCTAGGCAATCCAGTGGAAGACCTCGTGGTTTTGCCTCTTTGTTGCAACACAGTTTCATGTGCCTGTTAACAAACTAAAGTCATAGTTTGCAGCTAAATCATTAAAACCTAGAAGGAAGAAGATTATCTACAACAACAAAAATGATGATGATGGCAATGTCATCTTTTCAATTTGCTTCTTTTCAGCTGACCGGACTGATCCTCATTACCATGGTGTTTCTGGCATGCCTTCTCATGCTGGTGATGTACAAGGCTCTGTGGTATGAACAGCTCAGTTGTCCAGAAGGATTCATATTCAAGGTATTGTGGGTCTACTGCCATATGTATAGTGCTGATATGTTTCATAACACTAAAATCAAATCAAAATCAAACTTATGACAGACACCCTGTGTAGAGCAACAGTACCTGATTCATCTCATCATGGTATGAAGAGTGTCCAGCACCTTCAAGTTGTGGTAGGAGCCCTTCCAGCTGCGTCCTGTCCCTGTAGGACTTATTGACATATTAAAGAAGCTACCACCATGTTTTCCTCTTCCTGAAAATCTCTGTATGGTATCACAAGCTACATCTACAAATACGTGGTAAATGCACTTAGAAATAAGTTGTTTCACTATAACATGACCCAGTGTGTTTCAGGAGCTTCCAGGCTTTATTCCATAAAGTTTGTCTTGTTTTTTATATTTGCTTAGCTCTAGAATAGGGCTCCTTGGGCTCTGGCTGTGATAACATTTTATTTTTCTTTGATTTCCACAAACTTTCTACCAACTTATTTGTCTTATTACTTGCTAAATGTGAGTGCAGAAATGCAGAGAGAAGTCTGAAACAAGAAGCATGTCTGTGTTGTTTTGCATGTTGAGCTGGGAATTCTGGGAGAATTGTATAAATGTGATTTCTTTGAATTACTATGGCCAAGACTGACCTTCCCCAAGGTCATACTTGAGATATGTGGATGTTACACCCTTCTGTCACTTAGAGCTCTCCCCTGCTCCTTTGTGGTCTCTCCTCTCCCCCCACCCTCCCCTAGTGGTCTCTTCTCACCCCCACCCTCCCTGTGTGCTCCTCACCTCCCCCTCCCTGTGTTCTCTTCACCCCTCTCCTGTGTTCTTCTCACCCCCACCTCCCCTTCTCCTCACCCCCTCTCCCTGTTTTATTATCACTCCCCCCGTTATTCTCACTCCCCCCTCCTCTTCTCACTCCCCTCTCCTCACTCCCTCCCTGTCTTCTTCTCACCTCCCTCCCTGTGTTCTCCCTTATCTCCTTCTCCTCACCCCCTCCCTGTGTTTTCTTACTCCCTCCCCTTCCCTGTTTTCTTTTCTACTCCCCCTCCTGTTTTCGTCTTACTCCCCAGTTCTTCTTAGTCCTCCCCCTCTTCTTAGTCCTTCTTCTTCCCCCTCTTCTTCTTACTCCCCTGCCCCTCTTCTTCTTACTCCCCCCCCCTTCTTCTTACTCCCTCCCCTACCCCTCCTCTTTTTCTTACTCCCTCCCTCTTCTTACTCCACCCCTCTTCTTCTTGGTCCTCCCTCCCTTCTTCTAAGCCCCCCTCTTCTTCTTAGCCCCTCTCCTTCTTACTTCTTGCTCCCCTCTTCTTCCCCCCCCCCACCCCTTCTTCTTTCTTACTCCACCCTCTTCTTTCTCTCCCCTTCCCTAGCTCTCCCCCCTCTTCTTCTTGGTCCCCTCCCCTCTTCTTCTTAGTCCTCCCCACCTCTTCTTCTTGGTCCCTCCCCACCTCTTCTTCTTACTCCCCCTCTTCTTCTTAGTCCCCTCTTCTTCTTAGTCCCCCCCCTTCTTCTTACTCCCCCTCCCTCCCTGTGTTCTCCTCACCTTCCCTTCCCTGTAGCATGGCCGAGCTCATTTCCCGTCCGCGGTACAGGAGTTTCTGTTTCCTGTACCCGGCCGGACTGACAGGAAGTGCACACTGAGTGTGCACTTCCTATCAGTCCGGCCGGGTCCCGGACCGGAGAGAAGCTCGGCCACGCTACAGGAAGGGGAGGTGAGGAGAGAGGCAGTGTGGCAGCCGCCTAAATGCTCTCTATAGAGCACTCAGGCGGCTGCAGCATTAAAAGGGCCGCCTAGTTCGCCTTATAGGAAGCGCCGACCCTGGTCAAGGTGCATATTGTAACTAGGCTTTTATGTGGCATTGGCGCAGTTAAGGCTTCTTTCTGGCAAGTCAACCATGCAGCTTATTTTTGTTCAAGTATCGTTCTATTGTGCTCCTTGAAACAACCCCACCTTCTTTTTCCAGAGCAGCCTGTATTTCTGTATTACCTCTGGATTTTTCTTTGTATCCTGAACAATTCTTCTGGCAGTTGTGGCTGAAATCTTTCTTGGTCTACCTGACCTTGGCTTGGTATCAAGAGAACCCTGAATTTTCCACTTCTTAAGTAATTGATCAGTACTGACTGGCATTGTCAAGGCTTTGGATATCTTTTTACATCCTTTTCCATCTTTATAAAGTTCCATTACCTTGTTACGCAGGTCTTTTGGCAGTTTTCTTCTGCTCCCCATGGTTCAGTATCTAGCTTGCTCGGTGCATCCACATGAGAGCTAACAAACTAATTGACTATATATACACAGACACTAATTGCAATTTAAAAAGCCATAGGTATGGGAAGTATTCTTTAATTGCCATTTTAACATATGTGTATCACCTTGTGTGTGTGTAACAAGGCCAAACATTCAAGGGTATGTAAACTTTTGATGAGGAGGTAGAGAAACATCGAACGCCATTCGAATGAAGGTTTGACCGGTCGGCCACGAGGTGATGCCCCAAAATAGTTCCATAGAAAGCAAGGCAATGACCGGTCATCTTTTGGGGGTTCTCATACGAACACTGACGAATGCTCCCCCTGGCTGTTTGGGAACAAATGCTCCCACTGTTCGATAGATCCTATCTCCCGAACGCCGTTTGTCTAGTTGGTCATGAAGTGAGACATGCAGCGGTACCATCTTTGCCCGGGTTCACAGAGATGCAAGGTCAAAAATAGTTCCAGGCGTTCGACGACCAGGTACCGCTGCCTGCGTTTGGGATACAAAATGGCCCTCTATTCTATGTTAAAAGAACACTACAGTGGTAGAAATACAAACGCGCAGTTTAGGTGTGTGTGTCGCTTGTCCGCAGGTAAAAAAGGTGTTTTAGTTAACTTTTCTCCCTCGCAGCACCGGTCTGTGCACTGCCATCTCACCTGCATGGATAAAATCATCAAGACTAATGGTCCCAACCAATACAATGCTTTTCCATAGGAAAGCATTGGGAGGCTAGTGTACATCTGGTAGAAATAGCCACATTTTATTTAGCTATTTTGGAGGTAGCGCCTCTAGTAGCTGTCAGAGCACTGTAAAGTAAACAATGTTAATTCTTGTGTACAAATAGTTTTCTACATTCTCACATCGTGATGAGCAAGTTAAACTAGTGTATACACCATGTTCCAAATTATTATGCAAATTATATTTAAGTGTCACAAAGATTAAATATTTTCTTGGCATATAGATGGCATTGTGTCTCAGGGCTCTTTTGATCACTGAAAACAATCTCGGACACCTGTGATAATTAGATTGCCAGGTGAGCCCAATTTAAGGAAAAACTACTAAAGGAGGGTGTTCCACATTATTAAGCAGAGCACCATTTTCATGCAATATGGGGAAGAAAAGGATCTCTCTGCTGCCGAAAAGAGTGAAATAGTTCAATGCTTTGGACGAGGTATGAAAACATTAGATATTTCACGAAAACTTAAGCGTGATCATTGCACTATTAAGATATTTGTGGCTGATTCAGAGCACAGATGGGTTCGTGCAGATAAAGGCACATTGAGGAAGATTTCTGCCAGATCCATGCATCGGATCAAGAGAGCAGCTGCTAAAATACCATTACATAGCAGCAAACAGATATTTGAAGCTGCTGGTGCCTCTGGAGTCCCACAGACATCAAGGTGTAGACTCCTCCAGATTCTTGCAACTGTGCATAAACCTTCTATTCGACCACCGCTAACCAATGCTCACAAGCAGAAACGTCTGCATTATGCAGAAAAATACATGAAGACTAATTTTCAAACAGTCCTGTTCACTGATGAGTGCTGTGCAACCCTGGATGGTCCAGATGGATGGAGTAGTGGATGGTTGGTGGACGGCCTCCCTGTTCCAACAAGGCTGCGACGTCAGCAAGGCGGTGGTGGAGTCATTTTTTGGGCCGGAATCATGGGAAGAGAGCTGGTCGGCCCCTTTAGGGTCCAGGAAGGTGTAAAGATGACCTCTGCAAAGTATGTGGAGTTTCTGACTGACCACTTTCTTCCCTGGTACGGAAGGAAGAACTATGCTTTCCGTAATAAAATCATCTTCATGCATGACAATGCACCATCTCATGCTGCAAAGAATACCTCTGCATCAATGGCTGCTATGGGGATAAAAGGAGAGAAAGTCATGGTGTGGCCTCCATCCTCCCCTGACCTCAATCCTATTGAGAACTTTTGGAGCATCCTCAAGCAAAAGATCTATGAGGGTGGGAGGCAGTTTACATCCAAACAGCAGCTCTGGGAGGCTATTCTGACATCTTGCAAACAAATTCAAGCAGAAACTGTCCAAAAACTCACAAGTTCAACGGATGCGAGACTTGTGAAGCTGCTATCAAATAAGGGGTCCTATGTTAAAATGTAACGTGACCTGTTAAAATGTTTAAAAAGTTAAAATGTTGTTATAAGTTTGACTGAAATAACTTTTGATTTCAGTAAATATGCTGCAAACACAACAAATGACAATTTTCAGTTCTTTACAACCTATAAAGTGTTTTAAAACTTACCGTGCTATAAAAAGTGTTTTGAAACTTGAGTTTTTTATGTTTAAAAAAATACTGTTATCATTAGGAGGTTTGGTCAATAAAATTTGAATTGTACTCTTAATAGTTGATAAGATAAGAATTATGCTGACTGTTATTTACATCAATTATTTAGGTAAATGAGAAAAAATATAATTTGCATGACAATTTGGAACAGGGTGTAGTTCTTGACTTGCAGATCACCTAAGTTTAGGCACGTTTTTAGGAGTAATCCTACACTGAGCTTATATTAAGTGGATCTTGGTGGCCTTGTATGCATAAAGGGATGTAAGAGATGTTGTTAAAACTAGTTTTTGTGTATCTATAAAAGTTGTGCACTGGTAATACGTTTTTTTGTGTTATTTCATTAGTTTTCTTTAGTGAATAACCCTGATACAATTTCTAATGTCAGTCAGAGACCTGTGCCTCATTCCCATATTTGTGGGATTGTTTTTTTTTAATTCTGGGAAGCAGAGAATTCTGTGGCTTTCTCCTTTCACTGTGCATGGACGAAGGGTCCAGGAGTAGTGATGTCCCGAACGGTTCGCGAACGGTTCGCCACGGACTCATCGTTGAGTAAACTTTGACCCTGTACCTCACAGTCAGCAGACACATTCCAGCCAATCAGCAGCAGACCCTCCCTCCCAGACCCTCCCACCTCCTGACAGATTCATTGTGAAGCTGCATTCTTAGTGAGCTGTCCAGGAGGTGGGAGGGTCTGGGAGGGAGGGTCTGCTGCTGATTGGCTGGAATGTGTCTGCTGACTGTGAGGTACAGGTTCAAAGTTTACTCAATGATGAGTCCGCGGCGAACCGTTCGGGACATCACTATCCAGGAGGACATCTGGGTAGATTCTTTCCTCTGTTCTATGGGTGTCCGGAGGGCCCCAAAGCACTTCATTAAGTGCCCTATACCACCATACAGGAAATGGGAATGAGTGGAAGAACAGTTTCTCATTGGCTCTAATTTTGGTATTTTAACCCCTCACTTGCATATCAGTTGAGAGGACCATTAAGTGGGACTTTCCTTTTAGATGTCTATTGGTCTTCTGGACCTTCAAAGTAATTACTTTAAGTTCCATTTGACTATGGTTTGGTGAAAATGTTACTTACTCTTTCTTTTTTTTCTTTCATGTGCACATTCTTATTGTCAGTAACAGATTAATAGAAATATAAATGATATATTGCATGGGGAAAAGGTTTTGCACTGGCATTAGATGAATTCTCTTTTTATCAATTAACATGTACAATAGAATAGCACCTCCAAATGCATGTTAGCATGAATAGGAGCCAGAGAAAAATATATAAGATGTCTTGCATTAGAGTGAGAGCTATCCAATATACACCTCTCCCTTATTTCAATCTCTTTGCATTCTATGGTATATTGTAAGAATTTAACAGTACCTGTCTAATTGGCTGAATTCTGTCTCCCACAGCACAAGCACTGCTCCCCCACAGACCTGGAAATGTATTATTCCCAGCAAGAAACAGGACCTCGTGGAGCACTCTACACGGCCATCACTCAGGCCAAGAAAACTCTGCCAGAGCTCCCGTCTCCCTGGCTTCCTGTTATTAATGCCCTAAAGGAAGCAGAAAAGGCCAAAAGAGAGTTGGGAGCAACAAAGCAGTGAGCTTTTAAGGGGCAAGGTGGCACTATGGGCCGGCTATAATCATTGAGAGGGGGAGGGGCGGGGGGCAGTCTTTGGGAGGGAGGGTCCTAGGGTTCCCTATCACCCAACACTATTTTGCCTGAAACATCTACTTGTAAAAGTCTTCTTTAGAAAAAAAAGTTAAATGGAGTTGTAATAAAGTTAAGGCACTTACCAATTTAGCTACTTCTTGCATCCGTATTTTTTTTTTAATAAAGTTTGTCTATTTTGTGTTTACCATTAAACACCCATGTCTTCTCTATTAGGATTAGATATATCAGCCCTGAGGAAAACAAATACATTTAGCTTGAAAACGTATTCATGTATATACTAGAAGGAACCATGTATGACATTGATGTACCTAGGTTCCACATGTTCTTAATACCATGGTGGAACTGAATTTTGTCTAATGGTCTATGTGGTGTTTAACAAAGCATGACAGTTCATTAGGCCATGGATTGAGAAGGGGCAGAGTCTACCATCTTCACCAACCTCCATTATTTGCCCTGAGAGCTATAATTTATGGTGTAATTACAGATCTGTGCAAGGGAAGTGCAGGGACGGACTGACAGCCTTCTGGGCCCCTGGACAAAATTAGATCTGGGGCCCTTTGAAGACAAAATATTAAGGACAAAGTAAATGTTAAAAATAACTTTAAAAAACACATTCAGTGAGAATTGCTTGGAAAAGTGAATTTTAACCCCTTAAGAACACATGACGGAAATATTCCATCATGATTCCCTTTTATTCCAGAAGTTGTGTCCTAAAGTGGTTAAAATACAGGCTTAAATAGCTGTATTGGAAAAATTCTCCAAGTCAATTTTGTTGTTCATTTTGATTTGACATTCACGTCGGATTTTTGACAATTCTTACATTAATGAATAACTCTGTGTAGATTCATTTGATAATTTCATATTTTCATTCAGGGGCTTAACTTGGATGAGCTGGGCCCTAGTGCAAGATTCAAGTAAGGGCCCTCTCGTTGCCCCTCCCTAAGCTACAGACTTCAGTGGGTTATCTGTGGTAAATGCAGGGCCGGACTGGGAAACAAATTCGGCCCGGGCATTTTTCAATCACAGCGGCCCCCTGAAAAAGGGGCGGGGTCAGAGAGGGTGTGTTTTGTCATCACTAATGAGCATGTTAGTTCAATGCACAGAGCCCTGCTGAAGAGCACTAGCATGGGAAAAAGGCCCTGTATTTGTTCTGCGCAGCGCAAGCAAATGCGCTGCGCAGAACAAATACAGGGCCTTTTAACTTGTCTCTGGTGTCTCCATAAGTGGGATACCAGAGGACAAAAGGGCCAGGAAAGCGTATGGTGGATGTGTTTGGAGCCTGCTTGTGGAATTGCGTGTGTGTAGAGTAAGCTGATTGTGGTGTGGTATTGTGTAAATAGGACAATTTAATTCGTGTTTGTGGTGTAATATGTGTGGCTAGGGGCTGTAGAGAGTGTGTGTGTGTAGGGGGCATGGTGTGTATTGGGGATGTAGTGAGTGTGTGCATAAGGGCTGTAGTGTGTGTAGGGGTTGTAGAGAGTGTGTGTTTAGAGAATGTAGTATGTGTTTGCTAACAAGGAATGTAGTGTGTGCATAGGGGATCCAGAGTTTGTATGTCAGGAATGTAGTGTGTGTAGGTGGTGCAGTGTGTGTAGGGGATCTTGTGTGTAAAGGACCCAGAGTGTGTATAGGAGATTGTGTGTGCGCGTATATGGAGGATTCCGAGTGTATATAGGGTAAGGGATCTAGCGTGTATCTGGAGCGTAATGTGTGTAGTGGTGCTGTAGTATATCATATTGTAAAGCGCTATGGAATCTGTTGGCGCTATATAAATGGCAATAATAATAATAATATGCATGCTGCACCCTTCACACATACACACAGCATACCCAACACACTGCACCCATCACACTTAAAATACGTCCAAACAAATACATACATACATATATATACACACATATATATATATATATATGTTTGGACGTATTGTATGTGTGAAAGGCGCAGTGTGTTGGGTGTGCTGAGTGTATGTATGAAGGGTGCAGCATGTGTGTGAGGAGTGCAGTGTGTGTGTAAGAGGGGTGCTGTGTGTGTGAGGGTGTTCTTATCTACTGTCACATTCTCTGTTTCTAATTGTCTTTGTCTGTTAACTTACTGAGGGTTATTTTATATATTATACATACGTATGTGTGTGCTGTATATGTGTGAGAGTGTGCTGTGTGTTGTGTGACTGAAGGTGATGTGTGTGTCTGAGGGTGCTGTCTGTGTGAGTGTGCTGTGTGCGTGTGTGTCTGAGGGTGCTGTGTGAGTGAGTGTGCTGTGTGTGTGTGAGTGTGCTGTGTGTGTGAGTGTGCTGTGTGTCTGAGGGTGCTGTGTGTCTGAGGGTGCTGTGTGAGTGAGGGTGCTGTCTGTGTGAGTGTGCTGTGTGTGTGAGTGTGCTATGTGTGTGAGGGTGCTGTCTGTGAGTGTGCTGTGTGTGTGAGTGTGCTGTGTGTGTCTGAGGGTGATGTTAGTATGAGTGTGCTGTGTGTGAGTGTGTGAGTGCTCTTAGTGTGAGTGTAAATAGCACAGTGTTTATATAAATATGTATTTTTTATTTAAAAAAAAAACAAAAAACTATGTATCACTCTCACCACTAGGACCACCATGGAAGGCAGAACGGCTCCGTCCTCCATGGAAACCCGGCACCCCCCCTTCCCAGACTAAAGGTAAGAAGGGAAGGGGGTTGCGGGGTTTCCATGGAGGACAGAGTCGTTCTGCCTTCCCTGGTGGTCCTAGTGGTGAGAGTGAACTCTAGCGAGTCCTGCAGGCTAGAGTTCACTCTCGCGAGATCTGAGCGTTGCCGTGGGAACCGCAGCAATGCTCAGACCTCGCGAGAGGACCCAGCTTTGCTGCTGGTTAGAGTTCCCCGGATCCTCTCCTGCCTCCCTCCATCCCCAGCCGGCAGCGGCTTGTAACTGCCTCTGAGCCGGTGAGGGAGATCTTCGGACCATGAAGGAATACAGCAGGGCTGGCACTCGGGTAGCATTTGCCCGGTATGCCCGATGGCCAGTCCGGGCCTGGGTCCATGTGTGTGATTGTGCAAGGGTTGGCAGAGTATGATTGGTTAACAGAGTGTAATATTTATGTGTGGAGTTGGCTGAAAGTGATTGTGTGTATATGTGGGACTGGCTGAATGTGAGTGTGTTGCAGTTGGCTGAGTGTGATTGTGTGGAGGTTGTGTGTGCGTAATAATAATAAATTTTAATTAAAAAACAGACACAGGTGCACAGTCACCCAGGTAGGAACAGAGATGGACTGGGGATACAAAGCAGCCCTGGAAAAAAAACAAAAAAAATCTATGCCAGCCCCATAAGTCATTGCGCCATATATTGTTGCATGTAATATGTAAGGCTATGTCTTGCCACCCCAGATGATTAAGTAATATATATATATATATATATCTCAAATATATATTCCTGTTGTAGTGGTTCTGGTGTCTATAGCCCGTCTCTGCAGGCTTTTCAATGTAAACACTGACAAGGGCGATCACATGGCCCCCTATTGCTGGCTGTGGATCTGCCAGCAGGGGGGCTGTCTGAAATATCAGACAGTCCCCCTGCTGGTGGAAAGTGTAAAAAAAAATAAAAAATAAACATGTTAAAATAAATTAAATATATTTTTATATATATAATATATGTGTATATATTATATATATAATATATATACATATTATATACATATAACGTCATACGTAATGTATTTTAATATTAATATAAGTATATATTAATATTAAAATACACTTAGAATGACGTTACATATATATAATATGTATATATATTATATATATATATAATAGATATATACACATATATATATATATATATATATACGTATAATTACAATAATAAATAAATTAAATAATAAAATAAATAAATAAAATATTGAAACTAAATTTAATTTAAATTATATATTCATATGTAATTTCATTCTAACTGTATTTTGTTATTAATATATATATATTGGTAACAAAATACACTTAGAATGACATTCTATATATATCTATCTATATATAAAATACAAATAACTGATTATTCAAAAGTGGAAAACATTCAAGACAGTTGCCAATCTTCCCAGCAGTGGATGTCCTAGCAAATCCATCCCAATGTCAGACCGTTCAAAGCTCAGAGAAATTAAAAAAATAATACAGTTACATCTCAGACTCTACAAGCCTCAGTTAGTATGCAAAATGTTAGAATTAATGACTGAACAAGTATGATTTGTTGCCAGGAGAAAGACACTCTCTTCTCTAAACTCAACATAGCAGCACAGCTTAGGTTTGCAAAGTTGCATGTGAACAAACCACAAACCACAAGACTTCTTGAACAATGTCCTTTGGACAGATGAGACTAAAGTGGAGATGTTTAGTCATAATGCACAGCGCCACGTTTTGCAAAAACCAAACACAGCACATCAGCACAAATACCTTATACCAACTGTCTGCATGATGGTGAAGGGTTGATGATTGGGGCTTGTTTTGCAGGCCCAGGATCTGGGAATCTTGTAGTTAATATATTCTAGGTATTTACCTATATGGATACCGCACTCTCCTGGATTCCAGGGTGCAACCGGGCCTGAAGTTGGCCAATCCTCATAATGCAATTTGCATAAAAGTAATGATGATCCAGGCACTCAAGTTCAATCAAATGGGCAGATTTATTGGAACAAAATCAAAACAATGTTTTGGCCCACAACAGGGCCTTTGTCAAGCTAACCACAAGTGTGGTTATAAAGGGTAATCAATTTAACAATTAACACAGTGTATATCAAAACACAGATAATCAATCACATATCACATTAATCACATGTTAATAATGAATACCAATAAATCATAAAAATTGTTAAAAAACATCAAGTGCACAAGTGTCGCATAGACTTGAAAAAGAGAGGAATCTCAATGTATCTTTCCTGGTAAAATATTTTATAAATAAATAAAATAAATACAATTATCTTCCAGCAATTATACTAATTATACATATTGTGTAAAAAAATGCAAATATATATCTAAAATAAAAGAAGTGATTTATCACTACTCTATTATCAGTCCTGACTTACCCCATAACTAGAAGCCTCAGAAAATAAAAATTGTCCAGCTGACTGGCAAAAAGATTCCATAATGGAAAATACCAAACACCATAAGGATCCGGGGGCAGAGCACTTCCTACCGTATGGTAGCTGGTAAGGGACAAAACCACAAAACAAACTTGGTTTCCCAGGCCCCCCAATGCAATGTAAAAAAACACTTATAACCACAGTTTGTATGTAAATCCAAGGCTGGAAAAAACTAAAGTGTATAGTGAATATTACATAATGAAAACAAAATAAAAAATAAAAGCATCGAAAATAAGAGGAAAAATCAATCTTCATAATAAGTGAATTAATACATGTATAAAATTATGAATTCAAGGGGGGCGTGGCTTGGACTCCGGAGAGAACAGACACATGGCGGCTGAGCTCCTGTTTCCTACACCATATAACGACATCATACAGCGTTCACTCACCCCGCACCAGGCAGAAACTCAGTCCCACGATGCTCCACAACATGTGGAAGAGGGCAAAGAAAATTTAAATCATGGCTGGAGATGGCTCCTGCAGTATTAGCGACCTGCTACAACCGCGGCCTAAACCCTAAATGGCGGCGTCTAGGAGTCTCCCTATAATTCGGAGGAAGAGGAGGTGATGGATGCCCCTGACGACATTCCTCACACAAAGGGGTTAGTGATCACTCCACTAATTAAAGATTTGACAGCCCCAGCCACTAAAGGGGACATCAAGGCACTTATAAACAACAACAGGGCCTTCTTTAATGCTGACCTAGACATAATCAGAGAGGACATTACAGTGGTTACAGCAAGGGTGCAAGCAACTGAAGAAATAGTCTCCACCATGGCACACCATCAGGAAAACAGCAAGGTGCTGATCCAAAAACTACAAGCAGCACATAAAGCAGTTCAGGTCAGATTGGATAACCTGGAAGGCTCACAGAGGCACAATAACCTAAAGATAAGGGGAATTCCTGAAACGGTAGATGACCACGAACTATCGCACTTTGTATGGCGCCTCATGGCCCCACTGTTACCTCACCGTGCTGCAAAAAGCATGCAGCTGAACGGCTGTTTCCGACTTACCAAATTCAACAGGGCTCTGGCTGGGGCCACTCATGATGTGTTGGTGTACTTTCTCACGCAATGAGACAGGTCAGCAGTCCAGGAGGCGGTGAAGAACAAGACACCATATGCATTAGAAGAAATGCAGCTCCGCGTCCTGCAAGACCTGTGTCGCTCCACTCTTGCCTGGAGACAGTCGCTGCAGCAGGTCACTCAAACCTTGCGTTCTGCAAAAATTGGCTATAAATGGGGACCATCATGCACCTTGCTGGCTTCCAAAGATGAATGCTCCTACCAACTCAGCTCCGCGGTGAACTCTGCAATGTTGCTCCGAAAAGTGGGCCTCATCTCAGCCACAGACCCTGAAGCAAGACCGAGTTGTTCCTGGGACATCTCCAAAGCTGTACCATTCATCCCACGAGTAGTGGCTGATACTGGCTGATAGTGGAACGGGCACCTAGGCTGGAGCACAACAATATTGGACTGAGTCCTATACCAGTCACACCTATCTAGTTTAATGAGCTTTATTATTTTTTCTTTAATATGTTTTTTATGTTCCACGTTAAGGGAATCAATGTTAGTACTATAGCATATAAAAGTCTTATTATGGGGCATAACGTGCCCATCTCTCCTCCCCCCACGTTTAGGGGTTAATGAGCGGTACTATTACCTCTCTGTAATTTATGTTTGGACCCTCAACATATTCCTCCTTTTTTCTGTCACACTTCCCTAATGAATATAAGCGGCAACCCTTAATAAGGCAATTGTGACAAGCGAATGACGGCCGTGCCCACCTGCACACAGTCACATCCCAGCCTATCGCATACCCTGTTACCAGGGTGGGGTCGTTACACTTACATCCCACAGGCAGGCCACACAGCCTAGACGGCCCACTCAATGCTACTCAGACACTAAATGCAATTGGAATCACAGGCCACAGGCTATATATCGGGCGCTAGGCGCCTTAGTACCATTAACTATAACACCCCTCTCCCTCAGCCAGTACAAAGGCATACCGAGGTTGATAGCCCTCACATGTTTTTCTTGTGTTTATTTTATCATTGTTACCTTCTCTTTACTTTCAAATAATATAAAAGAGGCATATACACCCTGGAGATTTATGATTATCTGTGTGCTACATTGCACTCTACTTGCATATAATTTCTCCTTTTCTTTTTTCTGTAACCTATGTTTATTTATTTCAATAAAAGAAAGAATTACAACTCAAAAAACAATTAAAAAAATATTATGAATTCAAAGCCATTATTCTGTTATTTAACATTGTTGGTGGACAGTATATTGTCCTATTTTCATATAAGTTCTTAGAGGGAAGACAATAGATAACAACTAGAGAATTAAATAAAGGATATATTAGATCGAACAAACTGTTAAAATGCAAATTTGTTGGAAGTAAAACACCTAAGTAGACCATCCCAAACGTGACTCTATAGCATATAACATTTTATACATCCAAATAATTTGAAAGTGAATCAAATCACCAACTTAAGTGAGGTTATTTAACATTAAAACATGTTGTGGGCCGAAACGTTGTTTCGATTTTGCTCCAATAAATATATTCTAGAGTCAAATGTGAGGCCATCTGTGCGACAGCTCCAGCTTGTCGGACATTGGGTCATGCAACAGGACAATGATCCCAGGCAAATCTACAACAGAAAGGCTGAAAAAAAAAAAAAGAATCAAGTTGCAATGGCACAGTCAAAGTTTATACCTCAACCCGATTGAAATGCTGTGGCGGGCTCTTAAGAGAGCTGTTCATAAGCAAATGCCAGCAAACCTCAATGAACTGAAGCAACACTGTAAAGAAGAGGCTGATAAAGTCATACAGAAAACAATTAATTCAAGTTATTGCTGCTAAATGTGGTTCTACAAGCTATTGACTCATAAGGTTTTTTTACACATGGCTTCTCCATTTTGGCTTTATTTTTGTTAAATAAATCAAGACATGGTATAATATGTCATGTGTTGGTGTTTATCTGAGGTTGTATTTAGGTAATTTTAAGACCTGCTAAGGAACAGTTGATTGTTATTATGTCCTGATATGTAAAACCATAGACTTCAAACAGTGTGTACTTTTTCCTATATGTGTATATATATATATATATATATATATATATGTATATATATATATATATATATATAAAAGCAAAAAAGCAACAAATGTGGCTGCACTCATGGACTTTTAATAAAATCTTCTCTTCTTTATTATTTCATATTAAAATGATCAACGTTTCAGTCCCTCATAGGCACTTTCCTCAGGATCAAGACATAAATAATGGTCTTTACACACTAGAATATATACATACATAATTACAAACATTAGTGAAATATGTGTGATGATCTAACTTACCTCAGGTGAAGTGAAATGCCTCCAGCGTTCAGCCGAGTGCCGAACGCATGCATGGAGTGACTCCGCCCCTCTAATGACGTTAAGTGCCTTCCCATAGCAACACCTAAGTGAAGTGAGAAGCCTTCGGTGGGTTGCCAAGTGCCGGGCGCATTTGTGAATTGGCTCCGCCCCTTAGTAACTACAAAGCGGCGTGGTAGCATGCAATGCGTTCCTATGGCAACGCTAGTATGCAAAACATAGCGAAATCGCGAGTGGTGATGAGCGGACAACTATATATCCACTTATTGTAAAGTGCATAAAGTGTAACTTGACTAATAAAAAACGCATGAATTAAAATTGCATTGATAGCTTTAAATATATAAACAGTGCCTAATAGCAGTGATATGCACTGATAGATAATGCAAATACAGACACTACATGTAAAGTGAACATTGCAATATTTAAAGTGGCCGCTGCATATAAAGTGATTATAGCAGTACTCTTAAAGTGAATGGGCATACAAAATAAAGTGAACTAAGTGCTGTTATGTGCAAAAAAATTTGATTTAAAGTGCTATTAAAGTGCTAAACACAATTGAGTAGTGGGCAATAACAAATAATAATATCTCATATGCCTAAGAAAGTGTCATATACCATATCTAATTAGCTAAATTCATACAGCAGTAAGGTTCTCAATTAATTGTAAACCTGTCACATTGTAATGGGATTTGTAAAAACTATTACTTTTAGGGTTAATTATCAAATTTTAGTTCAAACAAGAAACTATAATAAACATACCCTTGTCTACTATAATGTGGCTACAGAATAAAGAATAGAAAATATTTTCCATTGTGACTGGGAGATATCCCACTGCTGTAAATTAATTTTATCAAAGTACTATCAAAAATATTGTCTAGAATATTAAAAAAAGAATAAAAAGGTATTGTTTCATTTAGTCCCATAGGTTGTAGAGTGCCCAGTTCATAGATCCAAAACGCTTTGCGGTTCAGTAACAGCTTGCCCCGATCACCTCCTCTCAACGGCATTGGTACATGCTCAATTAGGAATATTCTCGGGTGTTTATTACCCCAGATAAAATTGGAAAATAATCTTTGGAATTGCAGGATCCTATCTTTGCCCAATTTAAAGGGTAAGGATCTAAATAAATATAGCAATTTTGTAATGGAATAAGCATTCACTATGTTCAATCAACCCAACCAAGAAATTTAAATTTTCCCTACTTAGTCAATTTTTTATGAGTTAAGATATATAAGGCTTCACAATTTTGGTGCAATATATTCTGAATATTAAAAGATAGTTTATTACCCAAATATTCAATATACTCCAAGTTCCAATTAAATTGGAATTTAGACTTGAGTGAAAATAATTCAGCCTCGAATATATTTAGCACCATATTTATATATTTGCCGTTTTTTTATGTTTATTTTATAATTTGAGACATTTCCATATTGCTCAATAGTTTTTATAACCTCTGGAATAGAGATTAAGGGCTTCACCAGGGACAAAAGTACATCATCAGCAAATAGGGAGATTTTATATTCACAGTCAACTGATTTAATCCCATAGATTTCTTTATTCTCCCGAATAATGATAGCCAATGGGGCCAATGGGCAGCCTTGCCTTGTGCCATTGTTTATTGGAAATATGGATGATTCAATGAAAGGATTTATAATTTTCCCCACTGGATCCATAGATAATGACATAATTTTAATTTTAAAGGGCTGTGAAATCCAATTTTTTTTTAATACTCTATCTAAAAATCTCCAATTAACCCTATCGAATTTATTTTCTGCATCAAGAGCCAAAATAACCATTTCAGAATTGATAAGATTACTTTTAATGATCAAATTAAGTATTCTGCGGATATTATCCATTGTATCTCTGTCCCTGACAAAGCCAGATTGATCCACTGAAATCAGATCAGAGATTACTAATTTCAATCTGTTTGCTAAAATATGAGAATAGATTTTTATGTCTAGATTAATTTATAAAATCTGTTTATAGTTTGCAATGATTGTAGGATCTTTCCTTGGTTTAAGGATTGGAATAATAGATGCTAAAAGCATCTCTTTAGGAAAGGGATTTGTAGTAGAGACTTCCAAAAATACTTTCTGTAGTATGGGGGCCAAGATATCAGCAAAGGTTTTATAGAACATGGCTGAGAAACCATCCAGACCAGGGGCTTTGTTAGTTTTAAGATTTTTTATCGCATTAACTATTTCCAAAGTGGTAATTGAAGCGTTCAGCTCACAAAGATTTTCATAAGATAACTTCAGAATATGTAGTTTATTAAAAAATTCATCAATTTCCAAACTAGTCACCTTAGAATCTGGTATGTTATATAAAGCCGTATAGAAATCTACAAAAGCTTGAGATGTTTCTTTGGAACTTAAAAAACACTCTCTCTTACTGTTATTTTTTTTTATTGATTTATCCTTAAAAGTATCTTTCAGTCTATTCTTTACTAACCTTATTGTTGTTGTGATACCATGTTTGCATAAGGAATGATATAGATTTATTAACCTCGTTCTGAATTTTTTTATTTATAACATGTTGCAGGCGCATAATTTCATTAGTAGTGTTTTGAGTTGTTTGTAAATTTTTTAATCTTTCTAATTTAGCCAACTTAATATATAGTGTAGAAATACTTTCATATTTATTTTTCTTTTGTCTCAAACATGCTTTTATTAAAACCCCTCTAGCGAAACCTTTTAAAGTTCACCAAACAATAGGTGTAGAAACCAACCCGTTATCATTATTTTGAATAAAGAAGTCTAATTCCCTAGCTAAATCATTGGTTACCTCATCTATTCGTAAGAGGTTTTCATTCAGTCTCCATCTATTTCTTATCTTAAAGAAGGTTGGAATTTTAAGTGTTATAAATACTAGGGCATGGTCTAATAGAGAAATTGAGTCAATCCTAGAGTCCGTATTCTGGTCCACAAAATCAGGCCTAATTAAGAAAAAATCTATACGGGAGTAGGAGAAAAATAAGTATAATCTCTCAAAGCTGCATTGAGAGTTCTCCAACAGTTGTAAAGTGAATTTTTCAACAAAAAATCATTAAATTTATTGGCTGATGTTTTAATTTTTGGCTCCCATTCATTTTTATTATTTTTGCTTTTATCTAATTTGAAATTGGGAGCACAATTAAAATCCACTCCCACACTTAAGTTTCCACTTTCTGGAGATACAATCCTCCAGGAAACTCATTGAAAAATCATTTGGGGCATATAAATTCACCAGAGTGAAGATCTTATCGTTTATCCTGGCAATTAGAATAAGGAATCTATTAGGATCGCTTTCAGAGTACATAAATTCAAATTTGAGATATTTAGACAAAACAATGGCTACTCCCCCTTTTTACGTTTTCCTTCAAGGTTGGCGTAGTAGACTATAGGGAAGTTATTAAAATGACATAATTTAGTAGGAGAATATATCCAATGAGTTTCCTGGATAAAAGCTATATCCAGCTTACTGTCTTTTAATAATTTGCATAATTCCACCTGTTTTTGGGGTGAATTAAGCCCTTGGATATTCCACTAAACACACCTAAGTGTCATCAAAAACCATGATAGCCCCTATGATCGAGTCCCAGTAAAGCAGTCCTTTAACATTTGCAAACGAAAAACATATCTTTATTTGTCTATAGCATTTGTAGACAATTTCATTTTTAAACAAAACATCATGTTCAACTAGTACTGGCAACTTTTTTACGCAGGTAGTAAGGCGAGGGTATTAACTAGGGGATTTGCTACACTTGGAAATGGCATATCCAAAAAAAATTAAAAAAAATATTAAATAGTGATAAATATGGAATCACCCATGTATTAGTGATCCCAATTAAGACAGTCGATCAAATAGTATTTAGTGAGCCGGGGAATATTATCTCCTTAATTGAAAAATATATAGCTATGTCTTAGAGATTCTCTTAATGTAATACATTTTCTATAGTATATGAAGTATCAAAATAACATTATTACATTATATTCTATAATGTGATTTCCCAACTTGTCAGTGATCCCAAAATTTAGCCTAAAAATATAGATTAGTACCTGAGTACATCAGCCCGACCTTGCGCTAATAATTCTAAATTATGAAGTAAATTTTATACATTTTAAAGTAAATAATAGTAATATCTCAGTGTTGTGAGGCACTCTCCCCTTGTCACTTAGAAATATTATTAGTGATATATAATTTGAACTTTAGATGTTTAAAAAAAACGCATCGTATTTACATGTAAAGCTTATCATTATCACGAGAAAAAAATAAAAAATAAGAAAATATATATATATATATATATATATATATATTTCCTTACTATCAATTGTAACTGATAGTAATTAGAGTTTCCATTTTAGTATTAATTCTTTTGCCGATGAAGAATCTTTTAATACAAAGGACTGGTCTTGATAGAATATTACTAGCTCTACCGGAAAGTTCTTAGAGTAGCTGTAATTTTATAAAATTTTCTTTTCGCCTATTGAGTAGCTGGAGACAAATCAGGGAATAATTTAATGTCCTTAAATTGAGGATCTGTGGGAGGAGATTTCTGAATAGCTTGCATTATCAGATTTTTGAAAAAAACTTTATGAATTTAACAATTGCAGATATTGTTCTAGATGATCTTGAGAAATTGACTAAGGTATTCCTCTGATTTTAATGTTATTTTTTCTGAAACGGTCATCTAAATCCATTAATTTATTCTCTAATTTGTAAGTTCTATCTTCTAGTGAATTTGTTAGTGTAAATAAGTTTTTTTTTTTTTTTTAATTCTTTATTTTTTTTGTGTGCATATGATGACAATAAGCGTGTAGAGCCACAACAGCATCTACGAGCATTCTTATAGCATTTCACAGTGTGGCAGTTCAGTCGGCACATTTTTATATAATATAAAGTTAACAGATTAGTGGACTACGCTTGTATAAGAAAACATGCTTTTAACAATGCTAGTCGCACTTTCAAATTATAAGTCTGTAGCTTGTGTGTAGTGCGACATGTATGTCCTAAAAATATGGTGAAGCGATTAACAAATTATTAAGCCAGCGGAGACAGTGTTATGCTATGGAAAGTAGGCTAGTGTTTCAAGTTACGTGCCTATGTAGTTTATTGAGATACAAAAATGGTTGTCGTGAGGTATATTAGATATGCTTTAAGTCGCGTGTATGTACATAAATGCTTGTCTGCTGGGTTGCGTTGTACAGTATGCAATATAAATGGTAGTGAGATTGCAGTTGCGAACTTCTCATATATATCTTGGTCTATCTATCCTACGTTTAGTGTTAAGCTAGTAAACATGCAGGCTTAGTTTGTACTATCATAGTATGGCTCAAAAGCTTAGCATAAAATTACATGCGAATACAGTAAATGATTATAATTCAGGGTGCTCGTCTATATAGAGGGTCCTCCCCATGGGGCCCCCCGTGATAGGCGTGGGAGTCCGGTCGGCGTTTGTCTGTGAGTATAGTTGGTGCCTCACATGTGGACAGTCCCGATGTCTGTCAGCCAATGCCTTTGAGAGGTATGTTAAAGTCCCGTTCGGTGCAGCCGGTCAACCAGCCCAGCACAGTGAGTCCCAGCAAGGAAATACCTGGATGGTATGTCAGCCGTTGAAGGGCCTCCGGCTTGTCGTTTTGTGTTGCCGTCTGACTATGAGTCCTCCAGCCCGGTTTGTGGATGCTTCTCTGCGTGGAACAGACCTGCATTTCCGTCTTCTGTTAGCGGCGGTATGATCTCTGCCGCTTGATGCGGGTTGCCTCAGGGCTCTGCACCATAAATCCGTCATGGTGGTTCCGGAGTGCGTGTGCAGGCTTGTGGGATTTATTGGGTCGTGTGCTGTGTAGGCGTCGTAGGTAGGTGTTGATTCTCCGCCATCGGGGTTGTACTCTCTTATTCAGAGAGGGTCTCTGCCACGTCGGGCTGGGGTCGGGTCTTCCGTGTGCTTGTGGGGTTGTTTTGCCCAGAGGAGGCCCAGGTCATCGGCAACCCTCAGCATTACTTTCTCTCTCCTCGTGCGACGGCCATCTTGGGAAGTGCTGCCGGGGAGTGTTCCATAGCAGGGTGATAGTTTGCGGCCCAGCTTGGCGTAGTAGTAGTTCCTTATGTTGCTTATGTAGACCGGGATGACCCCCCCGGTCCAGAGGGGGGGGACCCAGACACTGGCCGGAGACCCAGGAGAGCGGCCGTCTCATCCTGGCTCAAGCTCCTGCATGCCTTGGGCCTTTGTCGGGTTACTGTAGGTGCCGAGCTTGGCCTTACATAGTTACATAGCTGAAAAGAGACTTGCGTCCATCAAGTTCAGCCTTCCTCACATTTGTTTTTCAACCTTGATGGGTATACCCTTGTATCCCAGGATCTGGGGATTGGTTTAGTCTCCGTTATGAGTTGCGGGGTAGGTTTAACCTCCAGTTTGCACTGATTTTCCACCCCCAAAGCGGGAGCTCAGACATTTTTTTAAATCCAAATGTCCAAGTATACAAAGTACTGTTTCTTAACTTAAAGGACCACTATAGGAACCCAGACCACTTCAGCTTAATGAAGTGGTCTGGGTGTCAGGTCCAGCTAGGGTTAACCCTTTTTTTTTATAAACATAGCAGTTTCAGATAAATTGCTATGTTTATAAATAGGTTAATCCAGCCTCTAGTGGCTGTCTCTTGACAGCCGCTAGAGGGGCTTGCGTGCTTCTCACTGTGAAAATCACAGTGAGAAGACGCAAGCGTCCATAGGAAAGCATTATGAATGCTTTCCTATGAGACTGGCTGAATGCGCCCGCGGCTCTTGCCACGCATACGCATTCAGCCGAAGAGGAGGAGAGGAGGTGGAGAGGAGGAGGAGAGCTCCCCGCCCTGCACTGGAGAAAGAGGTAAGTTTAACCCCTTCCTCTCCATCCAGCCCAGCGGGAGGGGGACCCTGGGGGTGGGGGCACCCTAAGGGCACTATAGTGCCAGGAAAACAAGTATGTTTTCCTGGCTCTATAGTGATCCTTTAATTATTTTTGTCGTTCTGCTACATACTGACAGAAGCATAACCCATCATCTAAATGTCTCGGAGGATCTCTACTGTTGAAGGGAAAATGTTTTTTGGCCAAGCAACATGCATAATCAGATGAATAGTTGACAACAGCTTTTTCCCACATTGATGTGGATAATGCTTTTACACCACCAAAGGTGATATCAAATACTTGCATGCATTCATGTAGTGAGACATACACAAAGAATAGCTGAGATCTAGAAGGACAACCAGCAAGGATAGAAGTCTTTGTCAGAATAAGGTTTGCCTGACCAGTTTTCAAAGCCATTTCTCGTGACATATTCTTGGCTTTTTTTGATCTCCAACATATGACCATGGTACATGCAGCAGGGATAAAGATAACACTGATCATAACAAATGGGAAATATATGACTATTATAGAACCTATATCTGGAATGTGATGATCAGGATTAAAATGCCCATTGCAAAAAGTGATGAATGATGCTAAACCAAAAGCGAAAATGCCGCTTGCTAGAATAAAAAGGAGAATGCAAAGCAGTACTTTGCATGTTGTAAAACGAAGACATGAATTAGAAGGATTAATATTATTAATTATTTCAATGGCTTTTTTATAAAGTTCAGCATCATGCACAAATGCTCTTAGTTGATCAGGTACAGAAGCACTGGAGTACATGCCATGCTCCCACTGTTCACTTCCATCGTTGATTGCAGGCATTGTGAGAATTGTCTTTCCATTATACAAGACACTAGATTGAATATGGACTAATGTAGAGTGTGACATCTGTTCATTGGAAGTTAACAAGACTTGGGACAACCTCTCAAAGAACTTGTCATCTTCAGCCTCCAAGTAGGTCAGGGGACTAAGATGAATAGGAACCGTACATGGCTTCAACAGGATTGGGATAATTGCTTTTTGTACCATGCAGTCCCTGAAGATAGAAAGATTGGCCTCAAATAGACACCAACGACTACGAACAAAATCAGGACTCAGCACTACCACAGTCTTTTGACTGCTCTGGATGCAATCAACCATATTGTCTATGATGGTTTTTCCTGGAAGAAAGTCCCTCTCATGATAGCAGATCTTTAAACGTGGGTACATGTCCTCTAGTTTATGAATGAGATCATCAACCCAGATGGAGTCTCCGCTGCTGTAGCTGATGAAGACATGGTACTTGTCATCCTTATACAGCGGAGGGACAGAGAGGACCATGGCATTATCTACGCTTTCTACAGCATCCATATTTTCATGCTCCAACCCCTTTGCAAACAGTGAGGTCAATATCTTATATTTTCACTGGATCTCAAACTTTTTGTTGATGATGTTCTGGTGAAAAGCTAGAACACAAAATAAGAAATGTGAGACAGCAAAACAATGTCAAGTGAGCGTATCATTGCAGTCACCTCAGGTAAGAATTGGTCAATTACTGCTTAAATAATGATAATATTGAAATGAAACATATTTAAATCCTCACATTGGTAGCTAGGCCTACAACTTACTCGCAAAACTCAAAACATTTTATTTTATTATTCAAGGAGTGTCAATGACATATTAATGTGTATGGAAACAAGGGTGTATACGTTAGGTGTGAATGAGAATACTGGTATGTGTGTGTAGAGATGAATAAATATGAATGAATGAAGGCAGGTCTACATGACACAAGCCAACAAATTCCACATCAGCAGACCACTATATACCTTCAATTGTGCGAAGTGTGTAATGGATGCCTTAAGCCAAGGCACTATGTTAAATGTTTGTATCAAGTGTACTAATCCTTCTACACTACCACACAATGATTTTCTATTGTAGTCCCATTATGTTAGATCCTGTTTAATTGCTTATGATTTTTTAATGAGGCTTCTAAGAACATTTGACAAAGTGTACAATGTTATCAAGTACTGAGACATATAGGTAGGATAATAGAGCTGTGGCAATATGGCTCTGGCATCTTCGCTACGAAAAGTGTAGTAGTTCAGGCACGTTATTGTCCGTGGTTTTCTTTCACAAACCTGCACACCTTTATTCTTGTTAATTGACAGAATACATAGCAGTTCTCAAAATAACACTTATACAACAATGACCAATCAGGGACATGAGAAGCTCAGGGGAATAATAAATCAGTTATAATATAATAAATCTCAAACAATAGAGAGCCTAATTAAAAACAGGTAATTCAATTACAGATACACCAGAACACAGAAAATGTTATTAAAACTCTCAAACTCTAAATAGTAGAAGGCTATACTCCTCTAACAGGTTTTGTCCGAGATTGTACAGCATGGGCCGCGATCTCTGGTTATATGCCCCTCTAGGTGAGGCACTTACCCTTTGTTTTTGTATATATTTTGAGTATTGGGTGTGGGGTTGGAGGCACTTTTTTTTCTCTACTTTTTTTTTCCTTACCTTTATCTTGTTGTATACCCCATTGTAGTAGAGCACAGGGCTTGTACCCTCAGCTTATTGGAATCCCTTATTCCATATTTTCTATCCCCCTATTTTACTTAAATGGTTGTGAATTTGCTTAAGATCCTATCATTAAACACTAAGGGGCTTAACAATCCTGGGAAGCGGTATTGTTTGATGCATGATTTATGTGTAACGGATCACCTGGCACCCCGACTGGGTACCTCCGTTGAAGGATGCTCCTAGCGCTTACAGAGGGCTCCAGGTGCTCCGCAGACACCACAACCACCGCAGACCCCACGAACCGCCGCAGCTTGGTTGGGGTCTCGCCGCTCCTACCCACCCTGGACCTACGACAAGAGAGTGAAGCAGGGACAAGCTCTTACAAGAGCTCAGAAGTGATTATCCAAGGGAGCATGCAGAGCATAGCAATCCCTTGCAGTGATATATTCCCCCAATAAGAGACAAGACTCTAGATTGAGGGTGAAGAAGAACTCTGGTTTAATGACACACACTCTGCTTTTATGCAATTCTCTCATGCAAGAGAGACGCCCACAGACAATTATACAATTCCCAATCACACAATGGTTACATCCCACACATCTCCTCCCCTTAGCCTGAGAGGTAACCCAATTATCCGTACAGTTTAAAACATACTTTTTACCCAACTTTCATAACTCCAAAACTATACACCCAATATTAATTATTATTAATCAGCACATTCTAAATACAAACATACCCAAAAATCATTTGAATCCGTTCAGCCGTTCGGGAGATACATATAAGTCACTTTTGACCGACCGCAGGCACATTTTCATGCCCAAAACAGTTCCATGGATTTGGGCTGTGCGGGTGGTCTATTTTACACTGAGAAAATGACTAAGTCCCATTCAAACGAGCGTTCGAATCTTCGAACGGGACTTAGTCTTCAGCCGCAGTGTCGAAGTAGAGTAGAACGTATGGGTCAGCGGTGTTCGTGCAATTGGGTAGCTGAAAACAGTTCCATAGCTTTGGCTGCACACACCGCTGACCGCGTTTGAATGAGTTAAAATGGCCGCCGCCACATGTTCGGTATTCGAATGGTGGCCACGTCGACGACCTCGACAACACGACTTCGACGACTTCGACTGCATCCGAAGTGCCAGTTTAAAAGTACAAAATCCTTCCTTTAGGCCTTAAGGGGCCAGGAACAGTAATATAAGCCTCAAGTATGCCCACATCAATTCCTAAAAGGGCAATACATCCCAGGGCCATAGTCGCAGGGCAGGAGGCTGGCAAACAGGCCCCTCCAAAAACCAGTGGCGAGGTTACTTTCGCCACATTATGATCTTTAAAAATTAATTTTGCCTTCATTCAGGAGACCCATATATTAGACCAAGATATAGATAAATTGGACCAGGGAGGATATACCCCATTTCTCTCCAGCTCTCTATCAGATAGAACCAAGGGAGTAGGCCTTCTGATTTTCGTTTAACCTCTTCGAGGGATGTAGAGGGCCGTGCACTTTTCCTAAAAGGCTCCCTGGGCTCTTTGGTATGTTTATATGCCCCAAATAGAGTACAACATAAGTTTATTAAGGGTATACTAGGGAAACTAAAATAATTCTCTGAAGGTTTACTGATAGTTGGGGGTGACTTTAACAATAGTGCTTGATCAGTTGCGAGATTCCTCAGACGGTATCTCAAGTATCCCATTCTATAATATATTAAAGGTAAAAAATGCTCTATCTGGCTTACAATTAATAGATATTTGGAGAATACAACATATGCAAAGCAGAAACTTTACATTTTTTTTCTAACTTACATAAAAAATATGTATTTTCGTGTCACATCACTTTTAGGGGAAGATAAAAATGACAGAGATTGGTAATATCACCTGGAGTCACCACACCCCAGTTATGGCACTATAAGTTTTTGAAGTAAAGGTTACTGCAACGGATCCCCTATACTCCAGCTGAGTATATCTGTGCAGAATCTCCCGAAATCCAAGTGTAGTAGAAGGTGCAGTGAATTATGCAGCTCCCAATCCCCCAAACATGAGCCAGGACTTCATGAAGGGGTAAAACGGTCTGTTTAATGCTGGCCACAGCTTGGCCTTTTATGCAGGTCCTCCTGCAAGGGATACTCCCACAGGGACCTTGTGGAGGACTGAGACACAATTTACAGTAGCCAATCAAAATACAATACAATATGAAACACTCCCAAGGAAACAATTAATTCTGGGCACTTAACCCAATTACCTCCAGGATAGTGAGGAGGGATTTTACTATCTCTAGATACAGAAAATATTTCTAAGTTATAACTGTAACAAAACAAATTAAAATACATAACTCATATTTCACATAACTGAACCCCCCTTTGCGACATATCCCCAGATAGCTTGGATCTGAGCGCTCAATATATCCGAAAAGCGCTAAGAGCCCATGAATACAGTTGAATCACTATGGGTTTAACTGGTTTTTCACCGACTGTTCGGCATAAATCTGTCCAGAATTAGTTCCATAGCTTTTAGCCAGGAGGGTCGGTCTAGTTTGTGAGTTCTTAATGTACCGAACGAAGCTGCTTTCTTATGAATAGAAACAAAGGGATGGAAGGTTGGAGGTCCCAGCGGTGTTCGTGTGGAATAGTGGCCCAAAACAGTTCCATGCAGTCGACCAAACACTGCTTGGCGTTCGACAAGTTAAAATGGCCACCGCCACGTGTTCGTTCTGCGACCACCCAGCCATTCGTCAATTAGTTGCGGTTAACCACAGCTTCTGGGAGGTTAACAGGCTGCACACTCCCATTGCGTGTGGTCCAGCTGTTCGTTCGTCTTAGCTTTATCAGAGACTAGGTGGCTTTTGACCAAAGTTATAGTAGCTCCTGAGTCGCCGAGCCCTTGCACAGCTTTACCCTCTAGGTATCCGGTCTGTCTGCGATGCTGGCGGTTATCAGCATTTGCCTGTACGGGATCTGCCTCGTGTAGCACTGTTACACGGTGGTGATTGGAACTGCTGAGCTATAGGGTGTCGTGATCACGTCCTGGTAGTAGTGGGCTGCTGCTCTCAGGGGTGGTGGTGGTCCTGGTCGGATCCAGGTGGATCGTCTCGGAGTTGCGGGCATTCTCGTTTGTAGTGTCCCCATTTCTGGCAGTCGTGACATTGCACAGAGCTAGGCTGGAGGAATCTCGGATGGGCAGTGGCTGGTGGGGGTGGTAGTTGTCGTGGTGGTGCTGTTGTGTTGGTGAGGTAGCTTGACCCCCCCCCCAGGGGTATTACAGCGGTCTTAAGGACTACCGTTTTTTTTTGCCTGCGAGCATCCATGTAGTCATCTGCTTTCCTCGCTGCCTCCATCAGGGATATGGGGTTGCGGTCCCTTACCCATTCCTGGATATCTGTTGGTACCCCATCAAAAAATTGTTCCAACAGCAACATTTGTAATATGTCCTCCATGGACCGTGCTTTGTTAGCTTGTACCCATCCAAGAGCCGCCCGCTGTAATCTACAAGCCCACTCTGCATGGGAATCTTTTTCCGCCTTCTTTAGTTCCCTGAACCGCCTCGGTATGCCTCTGGTGTGATGGCATACCGAGCCAATATAATCTCTTTTACCCGACTGTAGTCCCGAATTTCTTCTTCGGGTACAGTATGGTAAGCTTCTGCCCGGTTAGTCCGGTTAGTCGCCAAGCTAAAATGGGGACCCAATCTTCTGAGCTGATGTTATGCAAGTTACACAGTCTTTCAAAATCTTGGAGGAATGCATCTATATCTTCCTCTGCCTCCACATACATTTTAAATGCCTGGTAAGGTATTTTTGGCTTACCCTCTATTATCCTGTTTACTGCTGAGTTACGTTCTGGAGTTGTCGTTACCCTTTGCCTCAGTACAAACTCCTGGACTTCCGTCATTGTCTTGGAGATGATCTCTGCCGGTGGGTTCTCTCCATAAAACGACAGCCTAAATTGTAGCTGTGTCTGGAACTCCATTTGTTCCTGTCT